GGCGTTTTGAATATTCACTGCAATAGCCCCAAACACCAGTTTGTGCCACCACAAAACAAATTTGTACCATCCTGTGGCACTCTTTACTATTTTATATCTACTTTGCTTCAGCCAAAACTCGCTCTGTAAATTAGCATTTGCGTATGGCACCATGTTATCAAAATGAAAAAATAAATGATTTTTCAGGACCCAAAAATGAACTGAGTCAACATGTGGATTACCAAGTTAATCCCCCTCTCCAAATATGAGGCTAAACCTCTTGCTTGACGGCTTGCGCACAAACAGCGGTGCGTCTGTCATTTAGGCCGGAGCCACAGCCAAAATCAAACACCAATTCAAAACGTGTTATGTCAGCCAAGTCTCTCTGCATTAAATCTGGGTACAAACGCCTTACCGTGTTTTTGTATGACCCTCGAGACCTCTACGATGCTTCCACATGCTTCCAGAACAATACGCGCTAGAGCACTTTCTTTCACAAAAAAACCGAACTCATCTTCATTGTCGTTCGTGCGGTTAGACGACAATGATGATAGCGGAGTTGAAGATACCGGAAGTGACTTCACTACCGCATCCGTGTCTATCTTGGCTTGCTCTGACGCCCGTGTCCAGCCGCCATTTGATTGTGTATCATCACCTGTCGCATATCGTGGAGTCGATCCTTTACCACGATGATACTCGACCCTCTCCGCCGCGAAGTCGCGGCGCTCGCCACTGCGACGGTAATATCCCTCCTCATTGTTAATATCTTGTGCGTGACTGGAGCCAATGGATAATAGCTGAGAACCTCGGTTTATCCTGCTCACCGAGGTTCCGGACTGTGTGGCGGCGTGCGAAGCAAGCCTCTTAGGTGTAGGAAGGTCCACCACGGGGCGCCTTGCGCGCGCGTGTAATCTTGACGCGCTCGCTGATATCTCGTGATCACACTGTGCTTGCTTTCGGATAACAGTGTCTCGATAAACTAGACGCCCCCATTCAACATCATCGGGCCGCGACATTTCATGATCTTGACAGCGTCCACAGCATTCCCAATAATGAGCGAAGCAGCTGTCCCGATGGGCGTCCCACGACAAGTCACAGATGTGCAAGGCTAGTGCGCCAAACAACATGCGTTGATGTGTCGCTTCATAAAACGCCAACGTTCGCACAAGCAACGCTCCAGATTCGGCGTTCCACCGCGTCACGAATGCAGCCCAAGCTCGATCAAGCGATGGGCGGTGTACGACTAAAGCGGCGTCAGGAGAGACGGAGCGAGGCTGATATGAAGGAGCTCTTTCACCGCTGGAGATCCACGATAAGCTAGCCTGCCACGATGACTAGCCCCGAGACCGCGAGGCCTTTCTAGCACTTCGTAAACAATGGTGACCCCCCCCCTCCCGCCCGCCGCGTCCATGCTGTCGCTCCTTGCGCTCTCCGAGCTCGATTGCAGAATGCCGAGCTCTCGCGTTCCCGCGAATATTTTCAAGATTCTTCTATTTCCGTGTATCTCACTTTAAAAAGGGATGATGTGATGGGTCTCCGTCACGTGGTCGCCGTCGTGCTATCAGGATGCCCATCGGATCTAGTAAGTCAAGCGATCTCACTGTTTACGTTCGCCTCAATACATTCAGAGCTAACTTACATCCCTACCTCCAAGTCGCAAGTGTTCGTCGGTAACAGTGTCTTCTAGCCTGTTACAGCACGAAGATCGTCTGTCACATCCCCCTGGTGCTGTGGGGCTCAACAAAGCCCAATTATCGTGGTTTCACTACGTGTGCACTTCGAGAGGCTCGTAACGAATAATCGGCCTCTATTCGCTTCGACTCTTCCGTAGTGCACAATTACTTCTTCAGTGCTACTTTGTGACTACTATTTGGCTGCATCGTTGGAGATGGTTCTGTATGTAAAATTCTGGTCATTTTGCGTAATTTGAGAAGTGTGTCCTGCAAAGTTAACAAAAGGAGGGGGTGAGAGTCTGGTCTGAGACGTAGCCGAGCTAATGCATGCGGATTAAGTTCCGTGTGCGGAGCACGCAGGCTTAAGGACCGTTCTTAACCGGGATCGCGATCCCAAAGTCGAGCTCTGATTGGTCACTTTCATCCCAATTATTTCCGAATGTGTAACCCAGTGTACCCCCACACGATCCGAGTCTTGGATCGCGCGCTGGGCTGGATCGCGCGGGATCGTGGATACAGAAATGAAGTTACCGCTGTTCATGGAGCGTTCTCTTGACGATGGCTCGCGCCGTCGACGCAAGCTTCGTCTCCGCATGCTAGCCGCTGCTGCTGTGCTGGCCCCTGAAGAGCGAGACGGGTGTGTCGTGCGTCACAGGTTGAATTGAAATGTGCACAAGCAGACATTGCTGTTGGAGGGCCAATTTCAGCGCTGCTACCGCATGAAGGTGGAGTCCTTCGAGCGCTTGCTGTCCTTTGTTCGGCCCTCGCTAGTCCGAGACGAGCTGCAGTCCCGCCGTCGAACCGGAGCAGGCCCGATCACACCCGAGAACATGTTACAGATGACAATTGCGTGGCTTGCAGGGAGTGGCTATCAAATGACGCGCTGTCTTGGCGGTACGTCGGCTCCTGGGATGTACCACGTTATGCACGACGTGATGGACGCCATTTGCAAGTGCCCAGAGTTGCGAGTCCGCGGGCCCACAGAATCACAGCAGCGCATGTTGGAGTTGGCTGACGGATTCGCGGCCATCAGCAAAGACAGCATTTTGACTGGGTGCGTCGGCTGTATCGACGGGTGGCTGTGCGATATTCGCGCCCCAAGCACCAACGAGGTTCCGGATGTCTCGTCGTTTTTCTCGGGTCACTACCAGAAGTATGGCGTAAATGTCCAAGCAATCTGCGACTCGCTGTCATGCTTCACGGCCTACTGCTTCAATTCACCAGGAAAAGTCGGAGACTCTATTGCTTTCAGTAAGTGGGAGTTAAGCAGAGCAATCATGGAGATGCCAGCAGGGTTCTACATCATCGGGGACAGCGCGTACCCGCTCTCTGACTCGTTGTTGGTGCCGTTCAACAAACTAGAGATCAAGAGCAAGGCACACTCAGACTACAGCTTTTATTTAAGTCAGCTTCGCATTCGGATTGAAATGGCGTTCGGCTTGTTGGTCAACAAGTGGCAGATCTTCAAGCGGCCACTCGTGGTCGACTTTGTCAACGTGAAAAGGGTAATTAAGACGTGCATGAAGCTGCACAATTTCTGTATTGATGAACGCACCAAGTACCAGAGCGCAGTTACGTCACTACATGCAGTTACTACCGAGTATCACAGTTTACCAGAAAGCTGGTACCGGCCCACAGACAACACCACCGAGACTGACACCTTGCGGCATGATGCGCTGGGACGTATCCTTCGTGATGTCGTCATGCATCACATTCAAAACTTCGATCTCCGTCGTCCTCGAGCTCGTTAGGAGCTCTCCGAGGTTGTCGTGAGTGCTGCTACTGGATTCCGTGAATGACTTCGCACTCAAGTTCGTTGATGTGGCGTTCCAGTGTTTGCTTCTTTGCATGTTGATTGGCTAGGGCTTCCCCGATTTCTGAAGCATCGATCCCCTTTGAGATGAATTCCTGACGCTTCGCCAAGAGATCCTGCGTCAAGGTGTTATTGCGGTCAAGCATGGAGTACAGAGTAGTGAGTTTCTGAATCGCCCGCTGCTCTTTAATTAACAGCTTCTGCTCATTCCACGTGTCTTCCTGAATTGCAGCAGTCTCCTTCGCCTCACTGTCAAGCAGCTCGTTCACACGATCAAGAATATCTGCTGACTGGGAGCTTCTTCGCCGCTTTCGGTTCACGAGCTGCATTGTCCCCCTCTGACCTTCCTTCGTGGAGTCGTCCTCATCTTCCGGGTAAAGGTTTGCAGAGCAAAACTCCCGCCCACCCTGCCGGTGTTCACACCATTGGTCCAGATAGTAAACGTCTGCGCGACCTCCACAGAAGTCCCAAAAATCGTGACTACCTTGCCCAGATACCTTTGACTTGGCTTCTGCCTTGGCGAAGTTACTGCTCACCTCTTTCCACATTCTCTTCAGCTTCGCAGCTGAATGCACCATCTATAATGACGCGGTGATGCCCTCAAACATAGCGTCGTTGGAAATCAAAGTGTTGTATTCGCCGGTGTCGGAACCAAACACTGCCGCAACGTCTGTCAAAAACGATGAGCCCCCTTGGTCGATCTCCTCGCGCGAGAGTTGATTTCCCGTGGCAAGGAGCGCCTCGTAGAACCTATCCGAGAAAAGCACATTCAGCAATCTGAACATGCAGCCCTTGGTGCGCTTGTCTTCGTCGCTCTCACCTTTTGATCGCTTGCGCTGGTGGCGCAGCAAGGATTCCACACCATCTTTGTTCGTGTCCCACGCTTCGAGAATGTTGGCGCGATCGTCCTTCTTGGTGTTTTTGGCGACGTTCAGCTTTCGGGCTGTGGACTCCAACTTCAGCTGCTCAAGACTCCAATCGTGGTAATTCTCCGACGTAGGAGGGCGCATAGGCCGCTTGAGCGACCCCAGGTCTATCGTCACGGTCCACTTCGAGCTCACCGTGGCGTCCGTGGCGCCTGCTGAAGCTGCAGTGGCGGTGGCGGCCTTGCTTTGGTTGGTGCGCGCCATGTTGCTTTTCGGCAACTTGATGCTGGACTGGTAACGGATCGCAATCCCGTTAAGAACGGCTGGGATCGCAAAATGTAGCCATCTCGTGTGGACGGTAGTCTTCCGGATCGCGATCCCCCGGTTAAGAACGGCCCTAAGACCAGGACCAAGCATGGCATACGCCTGCTCGGCCCTATAGCGTCAACGCCTTGGAAGGTTTGGTTTGGATTAAGGGTGATAGAATTTCGCGTCCTCCCTGAATTCAAGCTCTTACCTTAAGCGCTGAATTAAGTACGATGTTGAACTTAAACGCTGTCAGATATTTATTAGCGGAAAAAACGTTCTACGTAAGTACTTATTTAATACTTCGTAAGTTAAGAAAAGTACTTAAAGCTGTAGTGACATGTCACTAAGTCTCTGTCACCGATGGCGGACGGCGTTGCGCGGATGCGCGACCTGCTCGCACAGAGCCTGCGTGCGTCGGAGCCGCAGCGCTCGGCAGCCGAGAAAGACTTGCAGCAACTGCAGAAGGTACCTGTCACCGCTCAGTTCCTCGCTGCACTACTGGACATGTGCGTAGTCGCTCCCAATGCCGACGGAACGCCTCGTAACCTTACACAGCTGGCGGCAGAGGACGCGGACGTGCGTCTTCTTGCAGTTTTATGGCTCAAACACTATCTCAAGACTCAGTGGAGGGCACGCAAGACCACGAACCTTCTGTCGGACGACGAACGCGCCCATGTGCGTGGCGTTTTATTGTTCGCGGCGCTACACGAGCCACAGCAGACAGTAGCATTGCACTTGGCGCTGATTATCGCCACCATCGCGCGCGCCGAGTTTCCAGCCCAATGGAGCTTCGAGACATTATTCCCAATGATGGTACAGCCGCTGAGACGAGCTAATGGAACTGTGGACGTGCCTAGAGAACGACGAGGAGTGGACGTCTGCTACCGCGTGGTCAAGGAGCTATCAGCCAGACGTCTCATGCAACACCGTAAACAATTCGCTATGCTCAGTGTGGAATTGTTGCCTCTACTGCTTCAATACTGGACAGCAACGGCTACACAACTGAATAACTTCTTACTGAGTCAACGTGAGGCTGCTACATTGACAGCGTTGACAGCTACAGGTGCAGAGCAGCTCAACGTGCTAGTGACGACCACGAAAATCATCTCGACAATGTTACTTAACGCGTTCAGAGACCTCTCGGCATTGCAGGATGGAGAGCTCATTCGTTCAGCACTAGTGGAGTTCTACACCCAGTTTGAGAGACTAGTGAAGTTCCGACAAGCTTGTCTTGCTCGTATTGGACACACAAGAGCTGCAGATGTGGAGGAGGCGATGCTGACGCTCGACAAGTGCATGCACCGCATCGCAGCCATCGTCGTCGGTGTGCAGAACTCGTATCCGATGGAGTTCCGCGAGTACTTGTCGCCGTATCTTACGCTGTTCTGGAACGTCCTAAACGCATTCACTTCTGTCCACTCGACAGCGCTTCCAGCTCCCAGACGACTTCAGATCGATGCGCTTCAGTTCTTTGCTAATGTATTGAGCTGCAGATTGTACAAGAACGAGAGTCTCTCGGGTCCAGATGGCACTACACGGATCATCACGAAGGTTATCACGGCTACAGGAGACGTCGCATTGACGGACGCTATGGTTCTTGAAGCACAAGCAGCTGTGCAGATGTTCTTCACTCAGACTGAGGACCGCTTTGCAGCTATGTTGAATCTAGTAGTGATGCACTACATGACGCTGACAGCTAAGGACCTGGACGAGTGGCACAGCGACCCAGAAGCTTATTGTGCGCTCATGGAAAGTCTGACAGCGAAAGAGTCGGTGCGTGCGTGTGCTGAAAATGTGTTCCTGACTCTGGTGCAGAACTTCCCGGACCAGACGATCCCAGCACTGACGCAGATCACGTCCAGTGCCTCAACTTATCTGCTAAAACTTGGTCGTGGCCAGGTGTCTGCTGGTAATGACCCACGGATCCTCGAAATGGACGCTGTGCTGTTAGCTATCGGCTTGGGCTGCTACGATCTCCACGATTGCTTCGAGTTCGAGCCCTGGTTTCTGACCAATCTCGTACCGATTCTCGTCCACCAAGATGCTGCAGTGGGCTCGTTCCAGGGTCTGCCCGTTCTGCGCTTCCGTATCGTTTGGCTCGTCAGTTGTTGGCTCGCCCAGCTATCTGCAAGTGTACGCCCGCCACTGTACGATGCGTTGCTGAACCCGTCGGCTTCATTCCACCAAGCAGATGCCGACGTTGCCCTCAAGCTGCGCGTTATTCAGACGCTCGAGTCCATGGTGAATGACCGGGGCTTTGAGCACGATGCATTCGCCCCCTTCCTGCCGCGAGCACTGGAGTGTTTGTTCGTTTTCTTCCCACAAGCTGATGAATCCGAGAGTAAAATGAAGGTATTGGGCTGTCTGGAGGCGATTATTCAAGCCTGTGGTGCTCAGATCGCCAGCTTCTGCCATCAGATCAGTGCTCCGTTGCCTGCACTTTGGACGAACGAGAGTGACGCGAGCAACTTGGTGCGTGGGAAGATCCTGCAGCTCTTGGCTACACTTCTTTCCAGCGTGAAGGACGCATCATCTGTGGAGACTGCCAGTGTACAGACATTGCTGGACATGTGCGTGCAGGTGATCCGCTTTGCAACGGATGTGTCGAATCCGGACGAAGTTTTCTTGATGGAAAGTGGCCTGGAGCTGTGGAACGAGACGCTGGAGGTGGCTACAGTGTACACGGAAGAGCTCCATCTACTCTTTGGCAATGTGTTGCGTTTAATGGAGCGAGACTACGAACATGTAGCGCTAGTATTGAGTCTATTGGAGCACTACTTACGTCTCGGCAAGGCGCAGTTCTGGCAGACGTATCACACGAACATTTCGGGGCTTTTACAAAGTGTCATGGGTAACGTCAAAGCCGAAGCTTCGCTACAGATCGCCCAAGTGACGGAGACTATCGTCGCGACAGTTCCCATTGATCAAGTGACTGTGTTCTTGCCAGTAGTGAAGACTATGGTGGAAGCTTGTGTCGTTTTCCAGCACGGAGGGTCCAAACACGAACCGGACAGTGTGTTGGCTGGCTATCTGAGTGTCGTGGCTCGACTGATGATGACGAATTTGGACGTTACGTTGAAGAATCTGCTGATGAATGACCTTGCGACGTTGCGTATGCTTGTAGACGCCATGCTCACGTTGTTCTACACTGTCGGGTCGTCCCCGTTGACTCTTGTACGACGAAAAGTGTGGGCGGTCGCCTTGTGCTCGAGTTTGATGTTGATGGAGCAGAACATACTAGAGAAGACTGGACAGATCTTGGAGATTTGTGTCGAAGTGATAGAAGACGAGCGAGAGGAGCAAGCGCAGAAGCAGAAGGCAGCTGCCAGTAGCGACCAAGATGGCGGAGTGTATCGCGCGTTCCAAGCCCACCACAAACAGCAGCAGACAGCGAGCGAAGAAGACGTCCCTATATTAGTGTTAGACTTGAAGAGCTTTGTCTGTCAGAGACTCAACGACCTCGCAGCGAAGCTTGACATGGACCAGCTGCTGCAATCAGTAGACTCGACGGTACTGCGTAAGTTCCAGTCATAATTTTTTGTTGTTGGCATAATTATAGGGACTCTCGGCCTATAAAAAATAATGAAACTATTCTTCTGCCGCAACTCGCGCCAAATTTACTTGTCGTCTTCAATTCGAAGACGTGTGGACTAGTAACATTTTAACTTTTACCGGAAAGAGCAGTGGCATGCAGGAGCCTCCAGAGCTATTGGCTTACAGGGCTCTGCAGGCGGTACAGCGCGGAAATGCGGAAGAGTTATCAAAGTTAATCCAGGCAGGAGCAAATGCGCATGTCATCAACGCGGTTGTCAAGACGGGCACAAGCCCAAATGGACGCCCCGATCGTGTACGTTTGCAACTTTTTTGGTTTATTTTGCGTTTGAAACAACTGACGTAATGTGCTGGTCGACAAAGGAGGCAAAGGGAGATCTTCTTTATCACGCGGTGGATAAGGAAAACGTCGAGCTGGCTAAAGTTCTGCTGAGCAACGGCGCAGAAGCTAACGGCTCGAAGAATGATGAGGTTTGTTGGTGGATCAGTGAACCGCTTTGGTCAATTGAGGTATTTAAGTTGTGCTGTGGTTTGTTGTAGAGTCCACCTCCGCTTCGAGCTGCGGTGGTGCGCAATAATCTAGATCTGGTTACTTTACTTTTGAAACGGGGCGCGCATGTGAACCGAACTTATACGATCACGACCGGTTTCACTAAACTCGTACGGCATCTTTAAGCTGCTATATAGTTGACTGCTATACTCACGTGCGTTGGTCTTGGTAGACGATGACTGTTTTGTTCGAAACAACTTCCGACGCCATTTACAAAAGTCTTTTCCGAAGAGGAGGGGATGTAAATATCCGAGACTCCAGGGGTGACACGCCACTACACGTTCATGCGGAACGCTGGGATGCGACTGCTGTTAACGGGCTGGTAGAATACGGGGCGGACGTGAACGCGCTTGACAAGGTACAATGGACTTCACACTCTGAAAAGTGAACAATCATAATCATATTGTAACTTTGTAGGAACATCGCACGCCATTGTTGAGGGCAATACAGCAGTGGGGATTTCGAGAGGGTTGCCAGGAGGAGGAACATTTCATTGATGTGTGTCATATTCTCATGAGTCACAAGGCAACACCTCCTCCGGACTCCATTACGAGCGAGGCTGAAAATTCGGAACGTCTTGCTCGACGCTTACGGATTGTTAAGGAATGGGTAAATCAGCGCAATGTTGGGATGGTGGTGCTATCACATATACCCGTGGAGGTTTATCGTCGAGGTGTCACTGACATTGCGAGGTATTTTGCAGCAAATACGCTTGTTCCTGTTGCAGTTGAACACAATGAGTATCGAACCGAAGTCCTTCCGGAAGTTTCCCGGCGGCAATCCAAAACTGGAGTTGCAGCGTGGAAATCGGGGGAAGAGGTGCTACAGCGTCAGGTAGAGATCCTACCTGCTCTGAGCCGTTCTCCAAGCCAGCGAATACATGTTTCAAGTTGCGAAGATGTTAGCACGTTACCAGGATGTCCGGAACCCGAACCAATTCTGCGAGATTTGGAAATTAGACTGAAGAAAGGTGGCAGTTCTGCTTGGTTAGCTCAGGAAGACGAAGGCTCTCTCGGCAAATCGAAGCCAAACCAAGTCGATACCACTGCCGTTCAAGATGCAATTGAACCCATTTCCAGTGCCGTAAAAGGTGGTGCTGATAGCACACCAACCACAGCCAGATCTAGCGTTAGCGATGCAAGGCCAGCACTGCCTCCACTAGCAACTCGGTCCGAATCGCCAGCAGTAGCCCCATTGCTACTGTACCGCCTTAAGATACTGCGTGCAACTGGCCTCCGTCGTGTACACAAGTACCGTAAACAGAGCCCGTACTGCATCTGTCGACTAGTTCGTGGCGATGGCGACGTACTCACCCACGTCCAGACATCGGTGCACCCTGGAGGCGGGGAAGACCCAACATGGGGAGGTCAAGTCTTCGATCTGGCACTCACACCAGAGAATACGCGAACATGCACGCTGGTGTTTGTCCTCAAGCACTCGGGCATGATGACATCTCTTAAGTATGAGCATAGTACTTCACTTTCGTCTTATTAGAATCTAACCCTTTGCCTCTTTACTTTGCATTCTACAGCGAGCGGATCGCCACGGGCATGATGCCATTTCCTTACATCCCCGCTGGCCACTCGCTGACGCACAAGTTGCTGCTCTTGAACAATGACCAACCCGCTGGACGCCTGAAAATCTACATTGAAGCATACTAATATGGCTACATTTTCACAAGTCACATAAAACTGACATTTGGTACACTGTACCAGCTTCTAAAAGAAATGTTAAAGATTTCTCTCCCCCCCCTTTTTAGAATGAAAATAGCAACGAAGGACTAAGGATGCGGCGCTCGAGTCTGCGACCGCGGCAGATCGACATCCATGCGCGCATGCGGGTCATTCGCGAGGAAGATGATCTGGACGCCGATGACGACGGCACTGGGGGTGCGTCCCAGCCTCACGCGACGTTCCAGCAACTCGTGGCGGTAAGAAAACCAATAAATCTTCTTTTTTGTAAAACAAATATTTTTACATTTTAAACGTCCTAAAAATAGAATCTAGCAGCTCGTCAGAAAGCTGGAAGTCAATCTAAGCGCAACAAGAAAGACATTCCAATTCCCGTGATCCTGCCAGTGCCCAGCTACGACATTTCCGTCTCTGCAGACTTTGAAGTCCCCACCTCCTACGTGAGATTCCAGTCTCTACCCAGGGATGAAGATGCTGCAACATCTGAAGCGTTAGGTCCCGAGTCTCAAGACGTTGAAGTGGATCTAGACCTAGAAGACATGCGGTGGCTGCGACGTCATCCCAAATACGGTGTCGACGGAGATCCTAGATATCAATTATCACAGGAACGCTTCGCTCAGATGCTGGACGCTCTGGAAAAGGCGTCAGCATTGCTAAACCCCAACGTCATGACCCTGGCAGAAGCCGAAGATGTCTTCGCCAAGAGGCTGGAGATGCGCAAGACGCCGCTCAACCGCGTGACGTGCGACGTTTACGCATACTGGGCCGCCAAGCGTCAGCAGCTGCGTCGTCCGCTATTGCGACGCTTCTGGCCGCAGACTCCGCTGAACGATACGAACCCTCACGCGGTGTTTCGACCTCGTGAGAAGGAGCGGTACAAGCTACGGAAACATCGCAAGAACGATCTGGAAGGATTCCGCAAACTGCAGCAACTTCGTGTGGACTTTGAACGTGTCCGTCGATTGCTCGACCTCGTCCGACGTCGAGAACGAGCCAAGAGACTGCAATTGGACTTTTTGGACGAAATTCGACGTCAAGCGGAGCATGAGCTCACGCATCGAGGACCCAATGCTGGTGTGCGTAAGCCTGTTATTCCAGTGGATGAAGAACGTGAACGTCACAAGAAGAAGAAGAAGAAAAAGAAGAAACATCGCGAGGTCGAGAATGGCAGTGTGACAGATGGTGCAAGTGCTTCTGGTGATGCAAAATCTGATGCGAAGCCAGGCAAGGCTGGAGCTGTAGTTGAAGGACCTCAAATTGCACCGACGTTTATGGAGTACGACACGTCGGCGAACTTTGTGATGGAGGATACGACAGACACGGACAGTTCTCCGCGGAGTGGCCCAGTGTACCCGTCGTACCCTTTGTCTCCGCCTCAACTGATGGCGGCGATATTCCAGCAACCACCCAAGTACAGATGTCGTGGACGCATCGGTCGTGGCGGGAGGTTAGTCATGGACCGAATTCCGGTCCCGTCTTCGCGGTATTATGGCATTACCGAGACGAACGCACCCACACTGAAGTCTACGTCGCTGGTGGCCAGTGCGGTAGTATTGGGGTCAGCAACACCCGACCACAGCGTAGCCAACTTCCCCGGATCAGAAGTGGGTATCGCTGCCAACCACGGAGCTGTCCTCGTCCAGGAGCTGTCGGTTCATCCACTGATGCACAAAATGAACCAGATGACGTCCAAGCGACTGGATGAAATCTACGGCATGAGTGACAGTGAAGACGAGAGTCTAGAACCTCTGTCGTCGTCAGTGTACGAGGTGCCCACCCGCAAAGCGACAAGTGGTGGGAAAGGGGTGCATTCCACAGGACCTGGACGGAAGGTCAAGTTCACGCTTGATGTCTAGGACGACAGAGTGCAAGCAGAACTATGCAAAGAAATCCCACACCCGAGAAAGCGCCATGAGGAGTGTTTTCTGTTTATTTCTTTTGCAGGCGTTTGCCAGTGAGCTCGGAGAACGGACGCACAATCACCTGGAACACAAATCACACGACTCGATGAGTTTCTGACTGTAATTTGTTCTGAAAGCTTGAGATACTCACAGTAGACGAGGCTGTGCGTGTAATGATTTCCCCTCCAGATCTTCGTTCTAGCTGCGCTGCAGTCTTGGGACGTCTACATCAACTAGGTACGTTAGTGATTCTTCTCGACAGCAAGAGGCTACAGCACGTACTCGTCGTAGAGACCCAATTGTCTCTTGCGGAAAGCATTCGGCGTGATCGCAGGACCATAAATCACGTGCTCGGAGAGCTGCACCTTGCGTAGTGGGATCCGATTCCGGCCATCGTCGAGGTTTAAGAACGTGGGCTGTCGAACAACCCAGTCGTTGTGATCTGGCTGTGGACGTAGAAGCTGCATCTGCAACTGTTGTCGCTGTCGTCGCCGTCTCTCCAATGCGGAGGTTGACGCTGCGAACATTTCCTGCAGAATCTCCATGTTGATACCGAGGTCATTGTAGCCATCTGGTGTTTGTGAGGATTCGGGCTGCTGGTCATTGAACGCCATTTGCGTGGACTGTTGGTTGTGATAAATGATAGGAGAGCTCGTAGGAGAACGTGGCGGTGACCCAGGACGATGAGAAGTGGGAGAACCTGGCCGTGACGGACGCTCAGGAGACAAGCTCACGTCTTGAGGGGCTTGTGCGAACGGAAGGTGCTGGTCGCATGATAAACATTTTAGCGGCGACTTCGTGAGGTACGCTGAGGGTGGATGTACACCACCACTGGATTCAACGAGACTACAACATGCACGGGCGTAAAAGTCAGTCGTCTTGCTACGATTGGAAGCACTCGATCGTGGCTGTACCTTTGCAGACGATCAATCTCGGATCGATCAGCTTTCTGTCGTAAGTCGTGACTCAGTTTGCCAGTCGTGGTGTCCAAGTCACGTGTAAGGCGATCGGTCTTTGCGTGGAGGTCGTTGGCGAGGTGTTCGAGCATCTGAGCGTTCGGGAGGCCTGTCATCCGGTACCGTAAGTCTTCTACCGTGTCTAGAACGCGCGACGCCGAGTCTGCTGTCGAAGTCGCGAGCTGAACCAGACAAGAAATGCTGTTTGTTATCGCACAATTCGACAGGACGGGAGAGTAACGACACGAACCTGATCTCTCAGATCCTGGACAAGCCGCAGCGTGTCTTCTTTGCTTGGACACGCACTCAACTGCGTTCTAAGCCCCAGCTCCGCCTCTTGCTGTCTCCAAAGCTCCTTCTGGAGTTTGTCTAGGCCCGTTTGATGCTGAGCGAACGTCTGTTGGAAATGTTCCTGCTGGAAATCAATCGCGTCCAATAGGTTGGCAGTGCCCAATTCCATGCAATGTATCGCGTCCGCTAGGAATCCAACAGCAGGCAATGGGAACTCCTCGTGTTCAGTAGCTGCTGCTCGATAGGACGAGTCAAGTTTGGCAAGAAGCTGTCGAAGCGTGTACATGTTGTTCTCCTGCTCAGATCCGCTTGATGGATGCTGCAGCAATTGCAGTGCGCGATCGACGGCTTCATGAAGTGTCGACATAGCGGGAGATCTCACGGGGTGGGAATCAAGCTGCGACTTAAATTCCTGAAGATCTCGATGCAACGTGGACAGGGTTTCTGGGTTAACGCCATAGATGCAGTTGTCTGCTGCTGTCTTGAGCCATAACGCGCCTGCTTGTTGCAGTGCATCAGCAGACACAAATCGCTTCTCTAGATCGTCCACGAGACTCATTACTTGGACCAGATCTTGTCCCTGTGTGCTCTGTGCCGTGTTAGTAGCCGTGTGGCTGTCCAGTTTTCGATCAATCTCTTGCTGTAGAGCAGCAAACGCAGCCACACGTTGCCCTTCTTGTTGACGACGCCATTGCTCCTCTCGTTGGTGGTGAAGCTGGAGCTGCTCTTGGAGCTGACTCTCGAGAGTAAGAACCAACGTTTGGTGGTTCTGCGTCGCGTCGTCCTGATGCTGTCGCCACAGCTCCATGTGCTCTTGATGACGATGAGAGCGCGATTGAAGCAGAAGTTCGTGCATCCGACGCATTAGTTCTTCTTCAAGACGCTTCTGTTCTCGAAGCCTCTCTTCTTCTTGTCGCTGTAGATCCTGGCAACTCTGGAAGAAGCTTTTCCTTCGATGGCGAGAACCCTCTGGTAATGGCTGGAATGCAGATATATCTGCAGATAGCTGGTCTCTCTCTTCATCGCTGTCTTCATCTTCTTGCTCATCTTCTTTGGTTGCACCGTCCTGATTGTCTGGAAGCGTTCGACCTACCTCCTCATTCTGTTCCACAAGTGGTGAGCTCTCAGCTTCTTTAGTTGCTGATGACAGCGTTTTGGTCTCTGAAGAAGGAAATTGTGGTGTCTCTTGCGAAGATTTTGACAGTGTTGCGACGGTGGCAGTTGTTTGGTTCGGTTCCAATTGAGTCTTGGCTTCGTTTAGTGTCGAGTTAAGTGTCGTTTCTAGTGAAGTCTCAGCGGATTCAATGGGTATTTCGTCCGAGATGCTCCCATTCGCTGTGTTTTGGTGTAACTTTTCGTCATCGTGTTGCGCTGCTAGCTGCATGAGAATCGCCTCGTTCTCCGTCAACACATCTGAGATGGATTGCAGCTCTGTCTGCTTGGCCTGGACCGTTTCTACGGCGTTATTGCTCCCATGAGGCTGGAATAGTACTTCCAGTACCATGTTGAGTTGGCGGGACAGCGTCATGATGTGGTATTCGAGCTCTTCCCTTCTACAACCGCTATGATCCACGTGCGTCACATCTGGTTGAGTAGTTAAGGATATTTCAGCAGCGGAAGTTGGCGGGAGTGAAGCGAGGGCGGCGGAAGCGGCTGCAGCTGCAGCTGTCGCTGCCGTAGCCGCTGAAACCTCTGCTGCTTCCGCTGTGCTGGCATCGATGCGCTGGTTCACCAAGTTGAATTTGTTGGTGACGTCTGTGCGCATCAGCGCTACGCTAGACTCGATTACGGCCATGCGATCCATGAATGCCTTGACCAGTGAGTCATAGACTGTTCCCTGTGACACGAAGAAGGCCGTGACATCGCTCTCGATGGCGTCAAATAGCGGCATCTCGGCAGCGAACACAATCCGTCAAGTGTAGCCATGTCATGTTTTCGCGTCTCTTCGTATCAAAATGTGCACCACCTCAAGGTTAGTGAAGTCTGCCACCAATTGTACACAAATGTGACAAGAGGCTGTCACATTTCGTGGGTAAACATTTCTCTTACTGAAATCAAGTCACATTCCAGCAACGTCAAGCTCATTTCCAACTCTGATATGCGGCTCGCACTGCTGTCTGCGGCCTGTTTAGCCTCTGTGTGCGTGGCTCAAGACGCACTACCGGTATTCCACGAAAGCGTAGGGCTGCAATGTTCCCAGAGCACTGACTGCGGCTACGTGCTTGCGTTGTCTTGTATCTCCGGGTGCGTATCATTCTGCCAACCCGATGCATTGCTTATCATTTTGTGCTTGTTCCACTGCAGCAAGTGCGAGTACTGCCGTCCTGATGGTGACGATTGCAGTGCTGACGGGTCTAAGCGCTGCCAAGTGGCGGAGACTCGGGACGAAGATACGGGCGAGATGCAGACTCAATACGCGCTCAACTCCGAAGGAGAGACTGTGCCTGTCGCTTACTGCATCGAGAAGAATCTCTTCCACCCTTTCACGTGGAAGGACATTGTAGCCACCATCATCGCTCTGGTGAGTACAGCACTGGGATCTGGATGTGGCGTGGGCGGTGGTGGGCTGCTTGTACCCATGTACATCTTCTTCTACGGACTGAGTCCCAAACACGCCATCCCGCTGTCCAAAGCTACAATCTTCGGCAACGCAGTGTCAGCCTACTTCTTCAATTTTAACCGGAAGCACCCGAGTAAGTCAATTCATTGGGGTTAAACCGAAAAGCGCAAGAAAACTGACAATTTTGTTCCTGCATTGCCAGTGAATGCCAAGCTGCCACTCATCAACTACCAAGTTGCGGGTGTTATGGAGCCGACCACGTTGATCGGAGCCATCTTCGGTGTCATGATGAACCACATGTTCCCGGATTGGTTGATCCTGGTGCTTCTGGTCTCGCTGCTGTCGTATATCACGTACAAGACGGTCCTCAAAGGAAACACGGTGAGTCAAAACACACTAATCTCTGTTAGAACGCGCACTAACGCAGTATTTTTTTTGGCAGATTCGAGAGAAGGAGTCGAGATATCAGCGCGCAGTCGTCAAGTCAGTGCTCAAGGGCGGCCCTGAAGGTGGAATCAAGAAGCTTGGTCGCCAATGGTCCATTTACAGAGTACTCAATTTATATAATTTCTTTTTCTTAACTCTGAAGCGCAGTAAACTGACTCATTCACTCCACAGCGATTCGATGTAGAAATTGCAGCCCGTCGCTGGCTCGCAAAGACCCGCCGTAACAAGAAATTGCGAGCGATTCGAGCTCAAGATGAAGCCGACTTTGCGTCCTTGCCACCTCTCCGTGAGCACCAACCATCAAGCTCTGACCCACTGTTAGGTGGACACGAGACACACGATTTCGGAACCTTCGCGTCGGACGATGATCAGATGCTGGAGAGACGTAAGGCTATCGAACAACGCGAGATGCGTGTGTTCCCGCTTAAGTACGTCATCCCATTGGTGCTCTCCTGGCTCGTGGTACTGATACAGTCGATGCTTCGAGGCGGTCACGGTGCTCCTAGTATCATCGGAATCACCTGCAACTCGGCAGACTACTGGATGTTGACGCTTCTACCGTTGTTGATCCTGGTTGCCATCACACTCTGGGTAGGACACCAGCTACGTCTCCAAAATCGACTCAAAGTGCTCTGCAACTACCCATTCGCCCAAGGTGACGTCCACTGGATCAAACGTCGTGTCCTTGTCTTCCCAGCGCTGTGTTCTATGGCGGGTGTGGCTGCTGGTCTCTTGGGTATCGGAGGTGGCATGGTCAAGGGCCCCATCATGCTGGAGATGGGGATTCTGCCGCCGGTGCAGTCGGCTACTGCCAATTTCATGATCCTCTTCACCTCATCGTCCACGACGTTGCAATTCGCGATCAACGGACAATTCCCCGGTCAGCTTCAGTACGATTACATGGCGTGGTTCGCTCTCATGGGCTGCATCGGAGGCTTCTGCGGCCAGAAAGTGGTGGCGTATCTGGTCAAAAAGTACCGACGCGAGTCGATTATGGTTTATCTGTTGGCAGTGACGATTGGTCTTTCAGCGTTGGCCATGGGTATCATCGGCTTGAAGTCGACACTTCGAGACATCGAGAAGGGCGTGCACCTCGGCTTCAATGGCATTTGTGACAGCGAATAAGGGCGTCCGTGGAGCATTTTTGACTTCTACTACCTTGTAGTTAGCAATCGAGCGGTCGCCATCTTAAATTCCCTCGCCTACGTGGTGGTGAAACCTTGTGGACGATCTCTGCTTGCCAAGTATGACGTCGGGCTGCGATTGGCTTTTAATCCTGCAGCCAATGTAGCCATGTATGTTTCTCCTTATTGCAAAAATCACCATTCTTATTCTAATTCTGACCTAGCGTTCAACCCGCTCCAGTATGAGACCGTGGCTGCTGGTGGCGCTGCTGGTTACCGCCACAAGTGCGGCCACTACGCAGACGGATCCAGCCCACGCGCCATTCTACGACACTGTCGGACTGGTCTGCAATAAGCGCACAGACTGCGGCTACGTCCCAGCTCTTGCTTGCCTTAAAGGGTGAGAAACACCGTCGGAATATGTCAAAAATGTGGTAAAAACTAATGCGCTGGATTTAAACAGCAAATGCGAGTACTGCAGACCGACTGCGCATGACTGCAACGACCACCGAGACGACGTTGACTACGTTTGTCAAGTTATTGAGGTGCTTGACGAAGTTACAGGCAAGACAGAGGCACAGCAAGGTCTGACATCAACTGGAGACACCGTCAGCGCTGCTTACTGCGTGGAGAAAAATTTATTCTCTCCATTCACATACAAAGACCTGATCACGACCTTAGTGGCGTTCTCCAGCACGGCATTGGGCGCAGGCGGAGGTGTTGGCGGTGGAGGCCTACTTGTACCCATGTACATCCTCGGAGGATTAAACCCGAAACACGCGATCCCGCTGTCCAAAGTGACGATTTTCGGCAGTGCTGTAGCCATGTACACTGTCAACTTCCGACGTAAACATCCATGTGAGTATTCTAATTGTTACTCTAATATTGATAACACTCTAACTGGATTTTTTTTTTTACGTATTATAGTAAACAAGAACCGCCCTCTTATTGACTTTGGCTTGGTGGGACTCATGGAGCCCACGACACTAATCGGCACGGTGTTCGGCGTTATGCTGAACCACATTTTCCCGAATTGGCTGATTCTCGTGTGTTTGGTGACGTTGCTCACGTTTATCACATACAAGACAATTCTTAAGGGGAATACGGTAAAGTTTTTTTATATTCTGCTATTGTCACCTTGTTAGCGCTAAACTGGTATGTTTTATTTGGCGAATTCGTATTAGATTCAAGACAAGGAAGACAAATATCGTCTAACCCTTGTCATATCCACACTCAAAGGCGGTCCAAACGGAGGTGGACGCGGCAGGAAATGGTCTATCTATCGGGTATGTTTCAAGATTATTTACTCGCTATCATGCCACTGATGGTGCTTACTTGTATTGCAGCGGTTTGACGTGGAGGTTGCTGCACGCCGGTGGCTCAACAAAACACGTCGACGTCGTAAAGTTCGTCAGATTCGAGAGGAAGACGAAGCAGATTTCCAGTCGCTGCCCCCTCTAAACGATCGCAAACCTACCAGTTCGGATCCCTTGATCCGAAACAAGCGCCAATTCGGAACCTTTTCCTCGGACGAGGACACACAAACCCAGAGACGCAATGTTATCGAGCGTCGTGAAGTACGCGTGTTCCCCTTGGAGTATCTTTGGCCACTAGCGTTATCCTGGCTGCTTATTCTAGTGCAGTCAATGCTTCGAGGTGGTCATGGAGCTCCAAGTGCTATCGGAGTCAAGTGTAACTCGTCGAGCTATTGGCTTCTGACGCTGTTACCACTTGCAGTCCCAATCTCAGTGTCACTACGGATGGGGTATCGACTTCGGCTTCTAAACCGCGTCAAGGTGCTTGGCAATTATCCGTTCGTAGATGGAGATATTCACTGGATCAAACGTCGTGTGTTGATGTTCCCAGCTGTATGCACCACTGCGGGTGTAGCTGCTGGTTTACTTGGTATCGGCGGGGGGATGGTCAAAGGTCCCATCATGCTCGAAGCCGGTGTTCTTCCAGCGGTACAGTCAGCTACTGCGAGCTTCATGATCCTCTTCACAGCTTCGTCCACGACGCTACAGTTCGCTATCAATGGTCAGTTCCCGGGTGAATTCCAGTTCGACTACATGGCGTGGTTTGCGTTTGTAGGATTTGTGGGAGGCTTCTGTGGCTTGAAATGTGTCGGGTACTTTGTGAAGAAGTACAAACGCGAATCGATCATGGTGTATATGTTAGCAGCGACGATCGGGTTGTCAGCCGTGGCTATGGGGGCTATTGGAGTAAGGTCGACGCTAGTAGATATTGAAAACGGGGTCCATCTGGGCTTTCTCGGTATTTGTGACAGCGAATAGTCGATACAGAAAAATGTTTTTTCCGATCATTTCAACAAGTTCGTCAGTCATCTCACAATTGAAAAAATGATCTGCCGGGAATCCTGAACTTTGCAGGTGGGACGACATGTAGAATGAAGTCTGCATGGTGGCACAGAAGCTGTCGAGTCGACAATGTCGAGTGGCCCATGACCACCCATTTCGTCGCGGCCGATGGCGACACCATTGTCGAGGTGGGACGAACGTGTGCCCATCCGTCAGGGTCTTGAGTTTGTAAAGACATCTACACAACCACATTTCTTCTCGTGAGTCAGGACTTGACACAACGTACTAGCTAAGATCTTTTGACATCTCAAAGTGAAGGCGCTTTCATTAGCTTGACGTGATGACTTTAAAAAAGAATAAAATTCAAAATCTGAGTGGCTTGCTAGCTCTTCATACTGAATGCTCATTGCATGGCCAGTTTACAGTAAAATAGCGGTGTCACAACGTGATCCCACCACTGTATTAGGGAGTGTGCCCACCGCATCCTCCCTTGTTTTCTAATGCTGGCCATCATCCGTCTCACTTCTAGTTTTGCCACGTCAAAGATGCGAGCCTCTTCACGCTGCCTACCGCTGTTGCTATTGACTCTATTGGCTACTGCGAGTGCGATGCCCAAACTGACGGAGCCCCAGGACGCACCATTCTCCGAGATTGTCGGACTGTCATGCTCCAAAGGATCCGATTGTGGCTACGTCCCAGCTCTCGCCTGTATCGAAGGGTACGAACGTCAGCGCTCTAAATCGAAAAAGCATACCCCTTTACGTTTTTATCCTCTTGTTTACATTGTAGCAAGTGTGAATACTGCCGACCAGCGGCTCATGAATGTGGAGACTACATTGGCGACGTGGCGTACACTTGCCATATAGTGGAGGTGCTCGACGAGTCGACAGGCGAGACAGAAACACAGCAAGGTTTGACGTCGGCTGGCGACGTCGTTCAAGCTGCTTATTGTGTCGAGAAGAACCTCTTCGCGCCATTCACATACAACGACCTTCTCACAACGCTCATTGCGTTTGCCTGCACGGCATTGGGCGCTGGTGGGGGTATTGGAGGTGGAGGCCTACTTGTACCCATGTACATCTTCGCAGGATTAAACCCGAAACACGCGATCCCGCTGTCCAAAGTGACGATTTTCGGCAGTGCTGTAGCCATGTATGTACGCCGTCAACTTCCGACGTAAACACCCATGTGAGTACTCTAATTGCTACTCTAATAGCGATAACACTCTAACTGGAGTTTTTTTTTTTACGTATTACAGTAAACAAGAACCGCCCTCTTATTGACTTCGGCTTGGTGGGACTCATGGAGCCCACGACACTTGTCGGCACGGTGTTCGGTGTTATGCTGAACCATATTTTCCCAAATTGGCTGATTCTCGTGTTGCTAGTGACGTTGCTCTCGTTCATCACATACAAAACCGTCTTAAAAGGCTTAAAGGTGCGTCAAGTCTATGAAATCAGGACTGTGGTTTTGACGATACTCACTCGATTTTATACTTTCAGATTCAAGAGAAGGAATCAAAACTCCAGCTTGCATTTTATCAATAATACGTTTAACGGTGGTCCAAATGGTGGCGGTCGAGGTCGGCGGTGGTCTATTTACCAGGTGAATATTGGTCAGTTTGTCATCGCTGCAAGCTGCACTAACGTAAATGCTGTTCACGCTTTATACAGCGATTCGACGTGGAAGTTGCAGCCCGTCGGTGGCTTGAAAAGACTCGTCGAAGTCGTAAATCGCGTGTGATTCGCGGAGAATACGAGAAAGATTTCCAGACTTTACCGTCTCTAACTGAGAAGAAGCCGACGAGTTCGGACCCTTTAGTCGGTGACAACCGTCGATTTGGTACGTTTCCGTCCGACGACAATGAGAAGACCCAGCGACGTGGTACAATCGAACGTCGCGATGCCCGAGTGCTGCCGTTCGAGTTCATTTATCCTCTGGTCGTTTCCTGGCTTATCATCCTGATACAGTCACTCCTTCGTGGTGGCCATGGCGCCCCCAGTGCTATTGGCGTGACATGTAATTCCTTGAATTACTGGGCTCTTACACTCTTGCCATTGACAATTCTCGCTGGAATTTCGCTCTACATTGGCCATCGTCTTCGCTTGTGTGAACCGATATATAGTGCTCAGTAATTATCCGTACGTGGATGGAGATATTCACTGGATCAAACGTCGTGTGAAGATGTTCCCAGCTGTATGCACCACTGCGGGTGTAGCTGCTGGCTTACTTGGTATCATGGTCAAAGGTCCCATCATGCTCGAAGCCGGTGTACTTCCAGCGGTACAGTCAGCTACTGCGAGCTTCATGATCCTCTTCACAGCTTCGTCCACGACGCTACAGTTCGCTATCAACGGTCAGTTCCCGGGTGAATTCCAGTTCGACTACATGGCGTGGTTTGCGCTTGTAGGATTTGTGGGAGGCTTCTGTGGCTTGAAATGTGTCGGGTACTTTGTGAAGAAGTACAAACGCGAATCGATTATGGTGTATATGCTAGCAACGACGATCGGGTTGTCGGCGTTAGCTATGGGGTTTATCGGACTTAAATTGACACTGGCAGATATCGAAAGTGGGGTCCATCTGGGCTTCCACGGCATTTGCGATAATGAATAAGAGCTATGGATGTATTAATCTAATACACGCCTATCACGACACATTTCTAGTATATCCACTGTCGAGATCTACGTTTCGATCTCACCAGCAGGATGTTCTTCGATAGCCTCTAAAAGTCGATGTTGTTGGAATCCACGACTACGTACACTGATGAGTTTACGGGACCTACCAGGTCGTAACGAGGACGAAGATCGAGGAGCTGGCATCACTTTATGTCGCTCCTCAGATACCGGAGGTAACTCATCTGCTTCTTCATGAACAGAGAACATCGACTCGTACGCACGTTCCTCTTCGTCACTCGTCAGCAGATCATGGTTCTTCTCGTTCGACTTGACAGCATACCAGGACTCTTCCTCCTGCTCCGACGTGTAGCTGCTATTGGAGTTCGGTGCTGCGTCTCGCGCCGATTGGAGAACTGCAAAGCCATCTGCGTTCAGTCCGTGCGATTGTACACGACGTTGCATGTCTTCCACCGGCTCGCGTCCGTCGAGGAACCACATCATACCGGTTTGTCGCTGCTCACGCTGCATTTCGGCTCGTATACGCATTTCTTGTACCCGGTCCATGTCTTCAGCAGGGTTGGTATAGTTGATGGGCGAGCTGATAGCCACGAGACTGCTACGTCTCATGTCGTCGTCGAATTCACTAGCAACGGTCTCTGCGATCGAGACGCGGCCATGAGCTCGAGTCCCTTGGCTCGACCAGTGACAAGAGAAGCCACCGGTATTGTAATTTGTCGGTTCTTCATCGTAGCTTTTGTAAACTGGTTCCGGATCGGATGCGAATTCAGGAAGACAACTCGTTAATAGAACCAGTATATGGGCTTGACGGTGGCGACGAGCCAATGCGACGGCAGCGTCCAGTGATCGACCGGTAGCGACCTGACGGTCAAGTAACACACGGACACACTCATAGTGGCCATTGATTGTGGCTACCGACAGTAGAGAATGCCCATCGAACGTGTACTGAGCCCAATCGTGCGGGTAGTGGTCCAGTAAGTAGGCCAAAATATGGTGACGACCATGCTCTGCAGCCACGAAAATGGGCAACGGAAGCTTGGAACTGACGTGCTCCATTGCAGCCTCGGAAAGGAGCTGAGTTGACGCCACGGAGGTCGGAGATTCTGTCGAATCGGTCGAGGATCTGGACGAGACTGAAGTCATGGGGACTCGACGTTGTTGCAGTCTCTGGAACGCCTTCCAGTGACCATGACGGACCACGAGGCAATACATGGCTCGACTGAAATGAGCGAGAACTTGAGGCTCTTCGAAGAACGCGTCCAGTAGGAGACTCAACACGTCGTCGTCACCGCATCGACAGGCCAATAGTAGAGCGTTGAGTTGGCACGGGTACGAGTCCCGACGCCGGAATCGACGTCGAGAGGTTGTCTCGTTCTCCATCCAAACGGGCGACGCACCTTCATCTAGCAAGGCGGCGACTTGTCGAGCTTTCCCTAAGGTTACGGCCTTGCGTAGTCTCAGCTGTAGACCACGAGAACCTTCTTCTTCACTTTCTTTGCGGAAGAGTTTACGCATGAACTTTGACACTTTGGTCATGAATCAAGACGAGGATGTAGTGGAGCGTTGCCACTGAGCGCGAGAAAAGCGAAATGAGAGCGTGGGTGTGTTTTGACCATTGAAAAAAATGCCATCAGCTGGCGAATGTGCTTTTTCGTCGCACGGCTACTCTATACGAGACTCGTGTTTCGTGGTCGAGTCTCTGGAGTCTCCACAACCGGTACCCTCAGCCGACGTTACGTGCACTTCTCCACCATAGGATGTTGAAGAGGTCTCTCTCTTCCGTTTGAATTACCGCGGATAATTTCCCGTGCTTAGTTTGTCATGGTATTAGTATCGGGAATCATCAAATTCTTTTTTTTGAGAAAATTAAATCATGTTTTATTAACATCGGGAATTTAGTCTCATTTCCCGAAGATAGAGTTGGTAGTTTCAGTCCGGCGTGGCAGAGAGCTGTATGGATCAAAATGGACATACAGGTAACGTCTCAAAGCAGCAGGTGCCGCAGAACTAGTCAGGGATAAGCTCAGATAGCAACTAGTCCACGCGAACTAATGACCGTCACGTGACGGCTCGCTCATTCAAGTCTCTGCCAGTTCTGCTTTTGGCTCTGCCTCTCTAAGCTGATGCTGCAGGGACCGAGCTTCGATTTCGCCCAGAAGGATACGCCGAATAAAGTGGTTGCTCTCCAGTGAAGCCGAGATAGTCGCGGCCACAGCAGCAGCCACACAACCCGCTTCCAGCACCCCACGGACGGGACTCGCACCCGGCTGTAGCCATGAAATTCGACGAAATGCCACGTTCCCCATACTCACCAGCACATAAGACGTAAGAATGAGGCCGATCGGCCGGCGACGCGATGGCGACTCGATGAAAATGGCAAGCGAGGGCAACGCGCCGCCCAAGAAAAATTGCAGTTTCCGATGCGTTATCGAACGATCGCCGAATTTCCCCATGTGACACGACAGGATCCAGCCCACGTAGACGAACGTAGTAAAATACGCAGTTGATCGTAGTAATTTGGCGACGAAGCGTCGAAGTCGTGTGGACATTGGGCTGGAGCGTACTTTGGCATGTCGTTGGGCGAATAACCACGTTGAGAAGTGCACGGGGAAATATAACCGGAAAGCTTCAGACGTCACGCGCAGCAGGAAGTCGCTGCGTGCGAACTGGTCGCAGGTCAGTCCCTTATGACGCGTGGAGCAGGGATTCGGATTAAGTCCGAGTTTGTACTGGTCCTGTAGCTCGGAAGCCATGGACTGCGTCAACAGCACATACTTGAGAATGAGACGCATGTGCGAACGCTGGTAGCTCTCCGGATGGAAGAAACCCGAAAAGTAGATCCATCCGACCGCTGTCATGAACGCAAGCAGCTCCAGTGGCTTCAATATAGACAACTCGGGGCGTTTCTCTATCAGATTGCGGACGAGTTGGCTCGCGGCATGGGTCGAAAGCAACGATAGAAGCGCCGGACGAGCTTTGGGCGACAGACACGCTGTTCCCAGTCCCGAAGCCACTGCAGAGGCCAGTACGGCCCCCCGAACGCGAGGTGTAGTGTTAATGCTGTCGGTACTGACGTTATTAGAGGCAGAGCGCTGTAGATACCGGAAGACGCCTGTGATGCATCATAGCACCAGTTAGATTCGATTTTTGTTAAAGCAATTCGAGAGTGCATTTTAGCTACGGACCGATGAAAATGGCAAATGCTGCAGCGTTGCGAGAAGGTTTGACCAGTGTCAACTGAGTCAAAGTTTGGCGTCGCAGTAACGTCACCAGTGCCTTCCGGTTGCTCACCAAGTTAACCAATACGGTGGCTGTAATTAGCGCGGCTGAGGCCCCACGAGCGGCATGATGAACCGGTGATACCATTACGTTGACAGTTGACGTAGCACAACGTGTGGACAACAAAACTGAGCGTGTCAGATTTAAAACAGTTTTGCCAAATTAAGAAGCTGTAAGTAGCTTGCAATTTGTCCTTTCAGCGACTTTTTTGGTCTAGATTAAGCATTTGAAACAACCTAATTGTGGAATTTAGACTCCTGATCAAGTTTGGATCATGGCATGTGTCGCGGATCTAGTGCGCGACTTTGAGTCGCTGCTAGTGCACAAGCATCGCTTCGCTCTCGCCGACGTCGTGACCTGCTTGCAGGCCATCATTCGTGACGTGGAGGATGTGCAACGTGCGCTTATCGTCGCGTTCTCATCGGCGGATAACGAATCCGCAGACGTTTTGGCACACATTTCAGATCGCTTGGAGCGTCTTGTGGCGCTGGTGCCATCATTCCTGGGCGAACGGGAGCTGTCGATACTGCTTAGTGCATTGCAAGAGCTCACTCGACTTTCCAGCGGCTTATATACAATTTCGAAGCTGCAGCAGTCGATAGAGTCGCTGTCCTACCACTCGAAAGCGCTATCGACTGCAGTATCTCGAGACGCGGCAGTCATCTTACTCCTGACGAAGAAACGAGACGTAAGTAAACAGTGGTTCGCCGTATGAACAGCAAAATCGATACATAAACGACATTTTTTGGTGACTATTGCAGCATTTGGCGAAATTTCTGGAGGACGGAATGCAAGTGCTGCAGAACTCGCATTCAAGACGAGTCGAGCAATATCAGGAGGCGATCACGCAGCTTACCGCCGAGTTCAAGCTGGCTCTAGAAGGTAAAACGGAAGCTTATTTTTTTTCATAATATAGGATTAGAAATGGATTTAATTTTTATGTGACTTCTAATACAGACGAGCATTTGCAGCGGGGCAAACAGTTGCACTTTGATATTCAGACAATCGAGACGTCCATGGCGACGATGCTACTGCCACATTTCGAGATCTGCAGGACCATCACCACTGCGTATGATACGAATCTACTATTTTAAAAAATTATTGTGCATTATTCTAACAAACTCGGTTTTAGAAATGCTCAGGTGCAGTCTGTGGGTTCTTCATTTTCTAAACCAGAGCGTGACGCCATCGTTACTTTCGTGCGTACAGCTGCAATGCTGAAAAGTGGGGACGTGACCTTCAGCAGGTACGTGAATTTATAGTATCATTTCTAAATAATACCTAACATGAATAAATCCTACAGCGTTCTTCAAGACGCATCGAAGTTTCTGGAGCGTCTCGCTCTATTCGAGCAAGCTGCTAGCAAGGTACAGTACCTTACTTGCTATAAATCGAGAGATATCAAACGCTTACATTACCGTAGGATGCGTTTCTGGTTTGCTCGAGTGCCTTGAAGCTGCAATTCCGGGAATCTCTTGACCAAGAACTCTTCCTCGCATATGTCCAGGACTGGGTCTTAAAACGCGAATCCTTGCAGGTTTAAAACACGTGTATCAGTGCTTTGATATGGTGTCTGATAAATTGTTATTGCTTCCTGTTTCGGCTATGTTAGCAAAACGAATCAAGCAGTGACTATCAAGCTTGTACCAAACATATTCAAGATTTAAAAGAAGCCATCGTTCGAGCACACGAACTAGCTCAAAGCAGGTAACTTAGGACATTATGAGTATATAAAAATTCATGTACTAACTGTGCTTTAGCCAGGATAAATTGGCGTTGGATGACCCTGCACGGGAGTCCCTAGCTCAAGAGGTATTACGCATAATGTAGCTGTATAAAGTATGGAGTCGACTATTAACATCATCTCTGCGAAACCAGGTGGCTCGCATATTTCACGACGAAGACGGCGTCCTAACGCGATGCGATTTAGCTTGAGTATTCCTTTGCCACTGTTAACGATCTGCAATCTACAAGAGGGTCTTGATTCGCGTTGGTATCTTCCATCAGAGTTGCAATGGCCAAGGCCACACACTCACTTGTAGCCTGGAATTGCGCGAGCCACCGGTTACTGTAACTTAGACACAACTTGGCAAGTCTCTGGGCGTTCGACGAGGACACACTCGCCGCTTCAAACTCGCGCATATGCAGCTGTTCGACCGCCAAGTTATTGTAGCACACAGCAGCAAGACAAAGCTTCTGTGCCGAGCCACCGCCACCGGCCTCGGATGTTTCCTCGAGTTTATTTTCCTCGATCATTTCGAGGATACTGGCCATGTATCTCATCGCTTCCACGTGCTTCATCTGGAACGAAAGCAGGTTCGCAATGTGCAGTCGACACTTCGCGAGATGAGACCAGCTGCTCTGTCTGCTGTGGATCTCGTGCGCTTTCATCATATACTGGAGTCCAGCATGAGGCTTACGCCGCTTGTAGTAGTAGTGCGCATACGTGTCATACAAGTAAGCCAAGAGCTCCGTCCTCGTAGTATTATCCACTAAAATGGAGTTGTCGATGAGATGTTCTGCCTGCTTCATCAGTTGCAGTCCGGTCGGAAATTTCTGGTAGTCGATACAGCGACTGGCAAAGGCGTTGCAAGTGACGACGAGTTGTTTCCAGAGCTTCGTCTCTAGCTCGTCCACTCCTCGAGCTCGAACTAAGGCGATCAACAACGACTCGAGCGTGGTGATGCACTGGGTGAACTTTTTCTTGGTCTCTAATTGTCGAACTTCTTCACACAACCGATGGTCGCATACAGACAAAGATTCTGCCATCGAATGTTGAGGTTGTAGCTGGGACAACCCGTCGGCTAGCGCACACCACACAGCTTTTACTGCTCCAGTGCCAGCGAACCAAATAGGGCGAGGAACTTTGGGCATATTGATAATTACTTTACCGTCTGCACGAAGCTGAGATGGCTCCCACGAGTAGTTTACAGCTGTCGGATATTGTCGCTGCTTTGTAGGTTTGAGAGTGGAGCTCTTGCCGATTACTGGGAGTGACCAGGATGTCTTCAAACGACTATTTGTTATGTTTGCTGTACCAGAATTGTGAAGTTGTCGTCTATCGCTATGTCCTGCAGAGCTTAAGTTGTCGCTTTGCTCCCTTGCAAAGCTGTTGGCGTTAGCTTTCTCGAGCGCTTTAGCTTTCACGGATGTTGCGTAGATTGTCAGTATCTGCCGTGCTAGTTCATTTTCCCATTCGTTGTCGTTGTCAGGTGCTTTAGAAGGAGGCTGCAAGAGCTCCAGATCGCATCGAATACCATCCGGAGAGGTCTTCTCTTCGATATCAACGTCATCTTTCTTACACTCTTCTAAATGCTCGACAGGCTGGTTGCCACATTCACGCTCGTTTTCATCTTTTTTCTTCGTATCTGAAGGATTTCTATCCGATCTCGGCTCGGAAGTAGCATATCGTTGTCGTAGCTTTTCCACGAAGCTGGTTTTCCCGTCTGTTGGTGGCTGTCTTACTTGCCCAAGAAGCACCTTAGACCGGTCGAGTATCGCTAGCGTCCGTAAATCCACTTTCTTGTATACCGCAGCGAATGCGGCGTCAACGGGGTCAGTGTACTCTGAATAATCTTCGTCGACTTGAACTCGAGATCTGGAATTATTGTGTCGATGATGCCGTCGCCGTTGAGCCTCTCGATTTCGATTTTTTCGACTGGCTGTCTCTTTATTGTGAAGAGGTGACTGTGATAACAATGACGTTGGTTCTTGACTAGAGGCTGGCAGCGCTTGTTCAGCTTCTTGGTCCGTCTGGGCTGGAGACGGGCTGCTATGTGCACTAACCTCAACTTCTTGACGACTTCGAATGATCGGCTTTATGGTAGAACACTCTATAACTTGGCTTTTACTGTACTCTTTAGCGGTTTGAGCTCTAGCTCCGTGGGCTGTACTGCGTACATGAGGATAATCGAGACCGCTATCTGCAAGAGAGTGCTGGACCAGTTTGTGTAAGTTTTTCTCGAGTTTAGAAGTAGACGTCTTCTCTTTCGTGCTTGGTTTCTTAGAGCCCACGGTGGCTGCAGCTAGCACCCCGGAGCGTTTGATACTGTCCAAGATCTGTTGGATGATGACTTCTCGCTGTTGTTCGAGAAACGAGGCTTGCTCTTCTCTCATTTTCTAGGTAGAATTTTCGTTAGCCCATTACAGAGATGCATATATCTCAAGTTGCAACAGCACAGACCTGGATTATCTTCGTTACTTCCTCTAGAGAGAGCGAACCTCCATTTGAATTCGTATCGGGACTAGCATCATTCATCGTGGAAGCACACAAAGATGAAGAGCGGTAATAACGTGAGTGATAAAAATACAGCTCAAAAATTCTGACGATTTACTAAATATTTGCAAATGATCATAGATTATAGAGACTTCTGAAACCACTGTCGTTCCTGGTTATTGTACCGAGTACTTTTTCAGGAAAATCTAGTTTATTGACTTCGCTGTAGATGTATCAACCGAACTCGCTTGCGCTTGTTTCAGTGCGTCCTAAAATCGACGCGCCTCAACGTCTCCCAACAGCATGCGCCGGATTAAATGGTTATCCTTTAAAAAGCCTGGAAGGAGCACGGACACTGCTGTTGCTATGCATCCAGCTTCCAAAAACCCACGAACCGAACTGACGCCAGGCTGCAACAACGGGATCTTCCGAGTTGCAACATTCCCGGCACTTACAAGTGCATACGAAACCAGAATCAGCCCAATCGAACGCCGACGTCCTGGAGATTCAGCAAATATCGCGAGAGACGGGATAGCGCCACTTAAGAAAAACTGAAACTTTCGCAAAGTCAGCGACTGGTCTCCGACTTTGCCTAGCAGACAACACATCGCCCATCCCAGATACACATACCCAATAGAGAATGCAGACGAGCGCGTCATCTTCTTTAGAAACCCTTTCAATTGGGTCACCGCCGGTCTCAAGCGCACTTTTGCATGACGTTGGGACAAGATCCACGTTGTCAAGTGCACTGGAGCATACAAACGCCAAGCCATTATCACGACACGGAGCAGAAAGTCGCTTCTCGCGTATTGCCCACAGCTCAGTCCTTTGTGTCGGATGTTACACGGGTTCGGATTGAGACATTTTCGGTACAATTCTTGGAGCTCATGGGCAACGTCTTGCTTCAACACGACACTTTTGAGAATTTGTGTCATGTGGGAACGCTCGTAGCTTTCCGGGTAAAAGAATCCCGCCGAAAAAATCCATCCACCACCTGTCATGAATACCAGCAACTCGAGAGACTTCAGGAAGTTGAGGTCCGGATATTTCACTAAAAAGTCGTTGAAAAGCTGGCTCGCGGCATTGGTAGACAGGAGAGACAACACGGGTGGTCGACTTGTCGGCGCCATCCATAGAGTGCATATCGCTGCTGCCACTGCCCCGGCAGGTACCACCCCAGTGGGCATTGTCACATTTCGAGTAAGATCGGGAACATTTTCGTTAGATTCGCACTGGACTCGAGCCGAGGCTGACCGCTGGAGATAGCGGAATATACCTGTAACAATGACTGTAAGAAGAAAATAGGGACCCGATCACATTTAAGAATTACGGACCGATAAAGAGTGCGAGTGCAAAGCTGTTCCGCGACGGTGTTACAAGTTTGAAACGTGGCGACAGTCGAAGCCGAAACAGCGCAAGGATCGCGGTTCGGTTGCTCGTTAAATTGGTCAGAGCAGTCAGAGCCACCAACGCGGCCGAGACACCGCGAATTGCATGGGGTGTGGGGGAACTAGCGGTCAGAAATGCCTGAAGGTGCTGCGTCGAGTCAAACATGACGTTTTTTACGTTGCGGAGTTATTTAAGGAGTGAGCAAGTCAGTGTATTGTCTTGACGATGTGCGAGCGCGGATCGCGAAGTTTAACTCATGGACGTGAACATGCAAATCCTGGCTCACGTGTTTGCGTTACACATACAGTATCGACGGAAGATATGGCCCGTGATGGTTAACCAATCTTCAGCAAACAACTTGACAGTTCTATATTGAAAATTGTAAAGGCCGCGCTTACACTTCTTTTGTAAAGTCAGTGCGTCTACATGTATAATATTGGCTTATTGTATCTCTTCCTTCGATATGTGTACTGTACCTGTACGAGTGATGCGGCATCTGCAAGGATGACAGTCGATAGATTCTTGAGCAGGACTACTTGTACCTATCCAAACACTTCAGTAAGGCTAGATCAGGTTGTCGAAGCCACGCACTGTGCAACGGCAAGCAACAACGGCAAGTTCAGGTCTGCCAATCGCCACTACACAGTGAAATTCGTGGCATTGCAGTGGACTTTCAAATATATTGCTACAAGAGTTAAGCAGAGTGTTATTGCCATTCACACAGTTTTAATTCAAAACTTTTGAAGCGCCTTGGTGACTCCGAGTGGGAAAGCGACATAAACCCCGCCGTTGTCTTCTACACAAACGCAATGGCATGCACGCGACACGGCGTTTGCAGAGACTGTGGTGCCGCAAGATCCTCCAGTCGAATATGCAGCCATCTCGAGGTCTCAAAAAAAACACAGTCTTGTCAGCGGAAATACTCCTTACAGTCACTTGAAGAAGATGCAGCACTTCAGTGAAATCGAAACATACGTCTATCAAGTCTATTTTGTAGTCCTGGACAAGATCCTCTGCTTCAACTATATAAAGTCTAACAGATATATTCAGTTTCACAAATTCAACGCTTATTTTAAGACCGTTGCGAGCCTCCTTTAATATTGGCCAGCACAAGTCAATCTCCTTCATCCTCACCAAGTCAAACCTAATGGAGCAGGAGATCCTCGCCACAGAGGAAGAGCTAGCCGGTAATTTGCTCTCAATCCTCTGTATCTTTCTACTCTCTTAACTCACGTTCCCTTCATTTTTAGACTTCGCTGCCGGTAGCGTCACATGCATCTCACCAACTCTGGAGAAGGTTTTGCTGGAAATGCGCCTAACGGGCGTGCCGTGCTACGCCTGGGCACATCTCAAGGTGCTTCTATTGGCCAAACTGCAGCTGCAACTCGACACAATGGACGGCGACGCCGCCAGCAAGGGCCGTCGTGCCAGTGTCACGCAGCTGCTCCAGACCTTCGAGAGTCCGCCCTTCACGCTGCAAAGACTCACCGAGATCATCCTAGAGCCGCATCGCAGCTACCGTAGTCTCCCCAAGCTGCTTAACGCACTGGAGAAGCTGCTAGCCGTGAGCTCTACTATCCAAGTGGTGGATCCTCGCACAGCCCAAGCCATCATGCAACAGTTCCAGAACCCGGGACCACTCGAGATCGACTCACCTATTGCTCGGCCAATAGTAGACGGCGACGTGGTCACTCGTGTGCCCTGGACCGGCACCGAAGCTGCTGCCTAAAAGCGTAGACAGCTTACCTTTTTTTCTATTTCTCCTTAATCTAAACAACTTTTTTAATACACTAATACAAATAAAATAAAGAAATTAATTTTTGCTCGGATAACTCACTGCGAGCATAACCCAAATGGCCACAGTGTGTTCCGCATACGGGAAGCACCGTACTGCAAGCGCGAACTGCGCCGAGCGAGCGTGGAGCGTCAGAATGTCGGCTACGAGCGGGTTGGACGCCATAGCTGTTAGAGCTTCATCCGGAGACTCGATAGAGAACATGGAGGGCACACCTTGGAAAGTGTGACCTTCCTCAACAAAATTTGTGACGCTTTGTTGAAAAAAAAGATTGTCCACTTGAGTCACGCCGTACAGACGCTCCAGTTCGTACGAGTTGAGTGCTGGCAGTAGGTAGAAGCTCAATTCTTCGCTCCAACGGGTCACGAGACCTTCAGCTCGTCGACGAGTAGCGATCGCTCGTCTTAAAGTTGCTACCCATTCTTGCTCTAACAAAGAGGCTGAAGACACATCGGGCGGTAGTAGAGCAGTCTGTGGCTGTCCAAATGGAAGATCTGCGATGAGGTTCTCGTCCATACGTTTCCAACACGTCTCGTCTTCGAAATCGAAAGAAGACTCAGCGAGTTTCCACGCTCGTGGCTGCAAGTTGGCGAAGAATTGACGATGATTGAACACGCAATCGATCGCGCAATAACCTCGTCGTCTTGGTGCTCGAGAGTCATTTACTGCGAACTTCTCGCCTGTCACAGCCTCCCACAGTAAAACATCAGAAGAGCTAGACGGTTGCGTCAGTCCTGCCTCAGTTTTTTTTCAAATGATAATAATATCCTTACCTGCTTCCTCGTGTGAGGACCCAAACATGGCCAGCTTCCGTACTTCCTCGGTCTTCATAGCTACGTTGAGACCCTCGAGCGAAGCGAGATGCACTTTTACTGGCAGAAATCGTGCCAATGCAGACGAACGCGTCGAGTCCGCAGCCTAAAAGCAGCGACGCAAGTAAAATCTGACAAACACATAAGTAAAAAATATACGTATAAAATATAATAAAAATAACTCACTGCATGATCTTGAGCGTCCCCCTTTCGAGCCGATAAAACAGTAGCAATAGATCGCCACGTCTCGTCTGCGCCACCTCCAAGAAGCGCATTGGACTCATACGGGAGCAAGCCAACGAAGCGAGCGGCTTCACTTGGGCTTCTCACGGCCATGGGAACACGTAGTGGAGTTATAAACTTACAGATCATCCGATAGCGACCTTCTTCGTCTTCAGCGAACATCTTGACAAGACGTTGTCGAGACCCCAGCTGTGCTAATAACTGCGAGTATTCATCGTCTCCTTTCGGTCCCTTGACGGGCTGTCGTTTGTCTTGGCGAGTTTCACTTCGGAACTCGTCCCACCACTGCTTCGCGTACTTGTAGAAGGAATGATTGCTCGCATTACGCTGGATTGCTTCCTTATTAAGGAACGACCGAGCTTCATGAGCGATACTTGGCGTGCGTTTACAATTCAGTAGATCAGCGCGAATGTCTAAGCTCCCAACGGGTTCTTTCATTATCCCCGTGAGCTGAATGGGGAAGTGAACAAGTTGCAGCGTCGAGCACAGTACTCGTCTCCAATCCATCCGATAAACTGCTAGTAGCTCGCTCGAGAGTTCACGCCATTGAGCGGTACCATTGCTATTTCTACTCTGTAACTTTTTCGTAACTTTGACCAGGTTTAACTGTACTGGTTCCTCCACCAGACACAGCGCTTCCCACGGTGCCATGACGTCGACGGCGTAGCTGGCTCCACCTCGGGTTCTAGCAGTTCGCGTTCTCTTCTTCTCCACACGGAAACGGAAATGCTCGTCGAACGGAGGATCGACGCAACATCGAATGTCTCGTGAAGTCTGACGTTGCGTTTGAAATGTTACATTCACGCGGAAAAAAGTTACAACACTTCCAACTGGACATCTCTTTTCATCCAATCCGACGTCGTCCTGGTCAGCGTTCTTGGTATCCTGCTCGAGTTCCACTAATTGGTCGACAAAGGCCTTCCCTGTAGACAGCCGTAAGTAAAGGAATACATCTCGGTCGTTCTCCAACGCTTCGTCGTCAGCTTCTTCGTGGTTGGTAGATTTTGCAGGTGTCGCCAACTCCATCGATCGAACTGTAGCCAAAAGCTGTTGCACGACTTCGCTCTCTAAGACATCATGGATCAGTTGTTCTTCGCTCGATTGAGTAGCTTCTTCATCGACAGGATCCTTTTCAGTATTAGGCTGTTGCTCTGTGTCTACGTCCTCGTCAGGCGACGTAACTTTGATCTTTGAGTTGACCAAATCTCGGATCTGTTCATAGATTCCTTGCTCATGCAGTTTGGCATCGATTGCAGCTCTTAAGGATCGGATCTTCTCGTTGTTTGTCTCCTTCGCATCGGTTATCTGCTCGTCCATTATTGGCGACGCGTCGGATATAGATCTTATCAATGACCTCTCGCCTCGAGCGGTCGTTCACCTGTTCGGTCCCGTCTTTCCAGCAAGATGGACCGTCACGAGCTGCCACCGATCGTAGAACCGCGACATGGCTCCTCCCACCGTCACAACCCTCGAAGTGAATCCGATCGCCTGCGAGTTATGGAGGAACGGATGGATCAACTGCAAGTGGATATGCACACATCGCATCGAATGCTTCGTGAGTTGAGCTCACTGGTGCATCGTCAACTTCAGGTAACTTAATAATTCAGTTCGTGTCAATTACAAGTATTGTTTTTTTTATGAATGTTGTGAACATTTTGCAGCTCACAAATTCCAGGAACAAAAGCCGGAATCTCAGTGAGAACAGTGCGCCTATGGGCTTCAATATGTTCACGAATGGGCCTCCGTTGGGCACTTTAGGTGGCCTTGAAGCGTTGAGACTTGTACCCCCAGAAATGCCACAAGCGATTAACACCGCAGTCGACGCCTTCAATGCTGCAGCCTCAAAGCCTACACATAGCGTGACACCAAAGGCGTCAGTGGAAAGCACGACACATACGCTTAGTTCTGTACCTGAGACCTCGCTGTCTATCCAAAATGGTCCTGAGAGCAATTTAGTGCCTTCAAATGGAGCCACCGATGACTCTGCCCAACCACCAACACCACTTCAGCGACGTATCATGAAAATTGTCCAATTGAGCAAAATGAAGGCTGAAAAGTCAAGTTTGTCGGACGACGATGATATTTTACGTCGGTTCTCGGTCAGTTCCATGAATTTAACGAAAAGTTCTGTGGCTGTCAGGAAGCGAAAGAACAATATTTTCAATGAGAAACAAGGGAATGCCAGTGTTTCGCCCGAGGAAATCTTGAATGCTCGCAACCTCGAGGGCAAAGTGCAGCCATACACACTACACCACAACTCACGACACCGACTCGTCTGGGATATGATCGTTATGGCGATAATTGTGCTCGATCTCGTGTTCACACCTTTATCATTGGGCTTCAACTACGACTCGAAATTTCTCGACTTTTACAATATTTTGGAACCCGTGATTTTCACAATCGACTTTTTCGTGCGCATGTTTTCTTCCTACGTCAACGACCACGGCGATCTCGTATCCGGTCCACGACGTACAGCTACGAATTATCTAATGAGTGGCTGGGCAATTCCAGATTTTCTCAGTTGGTTCCCATTCGGGCTTCTCACAAAATTTAGTCACAGTGACGCGCTCGGGTTTACCAAGATTATTCGGTTAGCCAAAGTGAGTCATCTGGCGTATCGACTCCATTCGGCCAAAAAAGTCGGTCTTTTGCGGTTCCTATTGTTATTGGCTCTAGTTCTCACAATCGCGCACCTATTGACTTGCTATTGGAGCTTCGTAGCTGTCGAGTGGCGAGCACATCTTGAAGATGGGGCCTTTGTGCCTAAAACCATGTTCGAAGAGTACAGTCTCTGCTGGTCGCTTGTGATCGGATGTGTCAATGCCAGTCCTCCTGTCATGTACTCACCGATGGAGTTGATATCCGTGGCTTGCTTCATGATCATCGGTAACATACTCCAGGCCAGTGTTTTCGGAGCGGTGGCTGCACTTATTTCATCCATAGATGAGAATGAGGCGGCGTATAGTAAAAAGATCGTTGCGACATCGGAGCGGTGTCGCTTCCTAGGTATCCCTGACGACCTGGCAAGGCGAATTCGTGGGTATTACGAGAATTTGTGGCGAGAGACGAAGAGTGTCAGCGGCGATGCTGACGCCTTTATTAACGAACTTTCGCCGGCTCTTATCTGTGAAGTCAAATTTCAACTTTATCGCGATATGATCCGAAGAATCCCCTTCTTGTCCGCCAAGACATTAGCTCCTGCTGTGATCGAGGTGCTGATTCTTCATCTACGTACGGTGATTTACATGCAAGACGACGTGCTTATTCGAAAAGGTGAATTTGGCGACTGGATGGGGTTTATCGGGTCCAAGGGAACGGTTGGCGTATTGGATCCGAATTCAGAAATTTGCAAAATTCTTTGCATCCTTCGGAAAGGAGACTACTTTGGGGAGATGGCGTTGTTGCAGCATACGAAGCGATCAGCGACGACAGTGGCACTTACGTGGGTGCAGATTCACGTGCTCTGTCGTCAAGATCTAGACTACGTTAAAGAAATGTATCCAACGCAAGCGGAGATCCTCGAAAGCGAGATTACCCTATACAAGAAGATGACGTCGGCGACTGAGCGGTGGTAGCAATGATATTTTTTTTAAACTATATGAGCTGCTAGTATATTTAACATTTACCTTTTCTGCGCGAGTCACAAAGATACTTAAGAGCGGACCAAACGACCAATAAATGTAGCACTAACAGGAATAGCTATCTGTTGTCCGTTTTTGGTACTTCTGTCGTTGGTTTCGCAATACCTTAGATTTGTCTCGAAGAGTGCTGTCATTGTACTCTCTCCGCTTCTTGTTGCACACTTAGCGCCATGGAACACGACACAGAAGACCTCACTCTACTTGCCTACATGGAGCAAGAAGAGCAACAAGCCACTGCTTCAATCGTACCGAGTCAAAACGGTGGACATCAACCTGGTAGATTGGAGGAACGACTGGACGAAATGCAAACTGAAATCCGAGCTACTCGTCAAATGATGCGGGAGCTGAGCATGCTTGTACATCGACAACTTCAGGTGCGTTTGTATAGTTTTCATTAAATAATTTGATCATGTCAAACAATTTTTTTTTATTAGACAACGACCACCCCGCTACACAGAAACAGGAGCCTCAGCGAAAGTGCGTCTCCTTCCAACATCGCAGTACTGGGTAAAGGTCCATCACTTCGATCCTTAGTAGCTAATGGAATTGCCCCAATGAGTTTCTTACCGTCAGATCCCCCCGCTACAGCTGACAATACGTTGAGTTTTCGCACGGAGACGAGGCCAGGGACCCATACAGATCCACAAATTAGTCGCGTTGATAATTTGTTACCAGATCCAGAGTCGCCTCTTCCTAATCCTCCGGTACCGCCTCCTACATCGAAAAAGAAGAGCATTGGTCTGGCAGTCCTGAAACCGGAGTTTGCTGCGTTGCGTAGGTCACTTATTCGAGCGCAAGATAGTCGGAAAAGTAGACCTGATGCTTCGAATGAAGCCGTGGTACCCCACGTTGTACCAGTAAAGCCAGACGAGTCTCCAATCAGAGATGCCGACGCAAAAGTCGTCACTAGGCGCTTCTCCATTACTTCCAGCTTACAGCCAGCGCCGGGATACCAAAAAAATCGGCTGAAAAGTATGTTCGCTAAAGCACAACGGATGGACGCAACAGTGTCACCCGAAGACATTCTGTCAGCCCGGAAGCGCGACGGAGAACTCGGTCGATTCACACTCTATCACGACTCACCGTATCGCTACATGTGGGACTTATTGATCATGGCAATGATCCTTCTTGATGTGATTCTAACTCCATTATCGCTCGGGTTCAACTTCACGCCGCCCTTTATGACTGGATTGAATATCTGTGGAACAATACTTTTCGTGATCGACTTTATTGTCCACTTCTTCTCGTCGTACACTGACGAGCGTGGAGATCTCATTTCGGGACCTAAGCGGACAGCAATGAATTATTTACTTAGTGGTTGGGCGATTCCCGATTTCCTTAGTTGGTTCCCGTTCGAATTGTTGGCGTCATCAAGCAAAGGGCGAGTTCTCAGCTTTACAAAGATTTTTCGACTGGCAAAAGTGAGCCAGTTAGCAAGAAAGTTTAACTCCGCCAAGAAGGCAGGCATCCTGAGATTTATCTTACTGCTAAGTATCGTTCTTACCATCGTTCATTTACTGGCGTGTTACTGGAGTTGGGTGGCCCAAGGGTGGCGTGCGCACCTACAAGACAACACCTTTGTACCCAGATCGCTGTTCGATGAGTACGCGCTGTGTTGGTCGTTAGTTGTTGGGTGCTTAAACGCGAGTCCTCCCCCAATGTTCACGGCTTTAGAGCAAATCTCCGTCGCTTGTTTTATGTTGATTGGCAACATCCTCCAAGCCAGCGTCTTCGGCTCCGTTGCCGTGCTGATATCGTCGTTTGATGAGGATGAAACAGCGTACAATAAAAAACTCATTTCGACGTCAGAACGCTGTCGTTTTTTGGGCATTTCGGACGAATTATCCAAACGTATACGCGGCTACTATGAGAATCTGTGGCGAGAAACAAAGAGTGTTAACAGCGACGCAGATTCTTTTATCAACGAGCTGTCTCCCGCTCTGATCTGTGAAGTGAAATTCCAGTTATATCGCGATATGCTCAAGCAAATCCCCTTCCTTTCGGCTAAGACTTTAGCGCCAGCAGTGATCGAGATGTTGATCCTGCACTTGCGGACGGTCATTTACATGCAAGACGACGTGCTGATCCGCAAAGGAGAATTTGGCGATTGGATGGGCTTTATCGGCTCCAAAGGTTCCGTCGGTGTGCTTGACCCGACGACGGACACTCGAAAGATCATTCGAATTCTGCGTAAAGGCGATTATTTCGGAGAGATGGCGCTACTGCAACGTGCGAAACGATCCACAACTGCCGTTGCGTTGACGTGGGTGCAGATCCACGTACTGTGTCGAAATGATCTTGACAGTGTCAAGGAACAGTACCCGACTCAGACGGAGATTTTGGAACGAGAAATCAACAAATATATGCAGTCAAAGGTTCGCTACAAATAGAAAAAAGTATTTTTTAGTGTTATGTTAATACATCTAAAAAAACTTGGGTCTCCGGTTCCATTTTCACTACCAATAGTACTTACAATACTATTTTCATCCGTTGCGCTCACTGCTGTGGCATCTCACTCGACCACGCACGATGGAGCGCACGGGTGTCGATGAACTCGAGGAGCAGTGTAATGATATTTTGCCCAAGCACAAATGTATAAGTCCAGAAGAGTTTAGACGGATGGAAAGACGTCTTGACGAAGTGCAAAGCAGCATCCTAGCAACCAATAAAATGCTACGTGAACTGAGCACCTACGTACACCGACAACAACAGGTCGGTTAGATCATTTTGGCCGCCATTTTGCTTAAATTATCTAATTTATTTTAATTATCCAGGCGGCGGAGGTACGAACGCAGACTCGGCGTCTCAGCGATAGTGCGTCTCCTTCAATGCTAGCATTGGGAAAGCCAATTGACAGCTTAGTAGCCATCGATGTGCTAAGACCCGGACATTTAGAGGAACCCCAAGATACCGAAGCTACGATTTTATCCGATTCTGGCTCCAGACCACACGTTGGTACTTCCCACCCCCTGCTGAAGAAGTTAAGTATGCCAATTGCCATTCCAGACCCTTCATTATCTTCCGAGTGGCTTGCTAAAGTCGAGGTGCGTCCTACCACTCCAAAAGAGAAACCCCGACTCTCGTCCAAAATTTGGATTCCATTCCCAATCCGGAATAAAATCATACCCTTTACCAAAGCACGCAAGCTAACCAAACTGGCCTCCGTCGACCGCGACTTAGTCAGTCGACGCTTTTCCGTCAGCTCGATTAACTTGGCTAGATCTCAAAGTATCGCGATCACCGAATCGCAGAACAGTCACGAGGACCCGTGTATCACTCCGGAAGAAATCATGTCGGCGCGGAAACTGGAAGGGGAAATGAACCGCTTCTCTATCCACCACGACTCACCGTACCGCACAGCGTGGGATATCTTGGTCATTATTATGATTCTACTGGATCTCGTGTTCACGCCGCTCTCTTTGGGGTTTAACTACAAGTCCAAATTCCTGAGCTCCTACAGTACTTTAGAGTCGATGGTTTTCTTCGTAGACTTTCTCGTTCGAATGTTCTCTTCCTTCAGTGATGAGCACGGCAATCTCATCTCCGGACCCAAACAAACCGTGATGAATTACTTAAGTAGCGGTTGGGCTTTACCGGATTTACTAAGTTGGTTCCCCTTTGAGCTGTTTATGCGAACTAGTCACAGTGAAGTTGTGGGCTTTCTGAAGATCTTTCGACTAGCTAAAGTAAGTCACTTGGCTCATAAACTCCACTCGGCGAAGAAAGCGGGTATCGTGCGCTTTGTTCTGCTTCTCGGTCTTGTATTGACGATCTCGCATCTACTCACTTGCTATTGGAGTTGGGTTGCTGTCGACTGGCGAACACACTTGGAAGACGGTAGCTTCGTGCCTAGAACGCTGTTTGAAGAGTACAGTTTGTGCTGGTCTTTAGTAATTGGCTGTGTGAATGCTAGTCCTCCGATAATGTACTCGACGATCGAGCTTATCTCCGTGGCGTGTTTCATGCTGGTTGGTAACATTCTCCAAGCCAGTGTCTTCGGCGCGGTAGCTGCGTTAATCGCATCGATCGATGAGAACGAAGCAGCGTATAGTAAGAAAATCATCTCAACTTCCGAACGTTGTCGCTTCCTTGGGATCTCCGAGGAACTTTCGAACCGTATCCGAGGATATTATGAAAATCTGTGGCGGGAAACAAAAAGTGTCAGTGCAGATGCCGACGCGTTTATCAACGAGTTATCCCCGGCTCTAATCTGCGAAGTAAAGTTCCAACTATACCGAGATATGCTCAAGCGCATCCCCTTTTTATCGTCAAGAACATTGGCTCCCGCAGTGATCGAAGTGCTCGTTCTACACTTACGTACAGTCATTTACATGCAAGACGACGTGTTGATCCGGAAAGAGGAGTTCGGAGACTGGATGGGGTTTATTGGGAGTAAAGGATCTGTGGGGGTATTGGATCCCAATTCGGACATGATAAAGATCATCCACATCCTTCATAAAGGCGAATATTTCGGAGAGATGGCGTTGCTACAACACACGAGACGATCCGCGACTGCGATAGCACTGACGTGGGTCCAGATCCACGTGTTATGTCGACAAGATCTTGACTATGTCAAGGAACTATACCCCACCCAATCTGAGATTCTGCAAAGCGAGATAGCTAAGTACAAGCAGTGGACTGCGCAGCACTCCAAGTAGTTTTTTAGACTTCCACATTGTAGACACGCACCGAGTTGTCTCTACTTGCTGCTGCCAGCACGTAGTCTTCGTTACTAGTGGGACGCCAAGCTAGACGTGAGACTGCTGCGGACGGCGACAGTACCCAAGGAATGTCACCCACTGGCGTGCAGACTACTGCGCCGTTTCTTGAGATAGCAAAAAATTGGATATCTCCAGTCTCCAGACCCACAGCAAGTAGATCGTTAGTCTCTGTCGTTTTGTATGGAGCGAAGGCTACTGCAGTGACAGCAGCATCAAACGTAATTGGGTCACACACCCGAGTCCACTTCCCTCCAGTCTGAGACCATAACGAAACTGACTGATCCCGTGACCCGAGAGCAAAGATACGTGAGTCTGGAGACCAGGAGCAGCTCCAGATAATTCGCTTGTGCGCCTTCACATGCTCCACCAGCGTAAACTTCTGGTCCGCATCTTGTCGCTCGTAAAGACACAAGTGTCGATCCCTGGACACTGACAATAGAAACTGGTCGTTCGGAGAGAACGCCAGCTGCACGACTGAGCTCTTGTGGCCCTCAAGTGGCGGCTGTGCTTCGCTCCAGTCCGTCGTGTGCCATAGACGAACCGCTGCGTATTTTTCTTCCCGAGACTTGCACGCAGACGCTATTAAGTCTCCAGCATGGGACGACGTCACACTGAGAAGCTCATTGCCGTGACCATAGAGCTTACGTTGTTCTGGCCACAGCGTCTTGCGACTCAACCGGTCACCTACCGGTAACGCTACCGTGTTGCTCAGTTTAGCGTACCCATCGTCACTAATAGAAGACGATTCCGACTTGTTCGTGAGACTCAATTCTGGAAGATAAGCATGTTGTACGGTCCGAGTTCGCTCCGCAGTGTCTTGGCTGTTCTTCTCCGGGGATTTCAGTCGATCAACCAGTTCCTTGACCTCATCGGGAGCCTCAAACACACGTAAGATCTTCTCGTCTGCCCCGCTGACGAATAAATCATTGGCTGGTCGTACTCCCAGCACGAAACACCCGCAGTTGATGTCGTAGCCGTGCACTTGTGCTCTCGATATCTCGTACCATTTTTGTGTACATTTATCCTCGCCTTCAACTACATTTAAAGGTGCCAGTATACGTGTCGTCTGATCCAGTGACACGGATGCTAAATAGTCCCCTTTAGGCGACCAAGAAAGGTCCGTGACCTCGGCACAATGACCGTTAACTGCGATCGCAGGTAGAAACAGCTTGGATGGCGCTGGCTGTTGCCCCCAGCGCTCCAATTGTCCACCGAAGCCCAGTGAGATCAAGTTCAAGCGTCCGTCACGAGCTGGCAACACTCCAGCAGCCAGCAGACCGTTGCCTCCCATTTCCCCGACCCGAAGTGACGGAGACCATGCGCCACTTTGGTCGTCTAGTGTGGTCCACACAATCAACGTATTGTCCATGGACGAGGACAATAACGAAGACCCATTGTCCATCCACTGCACAGACGTGACCCAATCTTCGTGACCGACTAACAGCGCGTCAAAGCTCACGGTATACGTGAAATTGCAGCCGTGAGCCAGGAATCCTTCTTGCACTTCTCCAGATGTCGCAGTAGCGTCTTTAAGACGAGTCGTAATTCTCCATAGTCGAATCCGTTGATCTTGTGACGCAGATGCTAGAGTTACCACCTCACCAACGTCCGTCTTTTGTCGATCGAAAGCGAGACTCCGGATCCAGTCCGTATGGCCCTCTAGCTCCAGTAACTTAGTTACTGTATCGGTCACTTCAAATAGATGCACCTTGCCGTCCACTCCGCCTGCTGCCAAGAGCACCTGGTCTCCTACTACCGTCACAGTCACCGTTTCCATGATACTCTTCCTGCCAAGCTCCAGTCGACGTAAGAGCGTCACTTTTTCTCTCTTTTTCTCCTCATATACAGCCAACGATCCGTCCGAGAAGGCAGCGACGTAATTTTTACGTTCTTTGGTCTCTGCGATGGCGACTGCAGCCACCGATAGCGTCGGCTCGGTGTCCTGCAGCGTCTGGACCTTCCAGGGTCCTTCAGACGCCCTCGTCCACACGAATACGCGGCCTTGTGAGTCGCCTGCAATTACGCGGATGTCACTAGATTGATCATGAAGTTGCAGTCGAACACTCGTGAGTCTTGTGGTGTCGGTTGTCGCTTCTTGGTGCTTTAAAGTCTCCACCACCTTCAGTGGGGCTGAATGAGAAGCATACTCGACGCTGCTTTGCAGCAAGCACACTACGTTCTTGCTAATAAACGCAGCGCAGTAGCTTCCGCATGCAGAGGGGGGAGATGCATTGCCGACTGCCACTGATAACGCGTTCGTAGCGGCGGTGCAGCCCGCCGCCACATGTGCCAACGCCACCTGTACCATCAAATATTGCTAGCAGAAATGCTCTAACAAAGTATTTTTTTGAAATAAGAAAGAGAGCACAAAATTTGTGCTCTCTTTTTTTAGAAAGACTCTTTTTCTAGCTTTCTAGTCTCGTTTGTGATATTTTATCAAATCAGAATTCTTGATTTCGGGATTTTTGGCGTTCGAAGGATGGAGCCAAACTTTCGGATTCGCGGTAGCTCGTTAAAAATATTTTTTAGTTTTTGTCCGGCTATTTCTAGATTCGTAGCAGGCGTTCGCTCAGTGAAAGTTGAAATGCCCTTGAGTGCTATCGCTCCTGATGGGTGTGTCGGCCCCAACCTTCAGGATCACGTGGTTGCATCTCGAGTGCTTAGCCAAGTCCAGCACCTCACAAGCTGTACGAAAATCTCCGGGCTCAGCTTTTATTCTCATGAACGAAGAGCAGCACTCTATCATTACTGCCAGACCACGTCACTTTTACGCGTCCTGTTAGTCTGTGTCATCACACCACTCCCCGCTCTACTCTTGGCAATAATTGTTGAATGCGTACCGGTACAAGACCCATCACAAGGCTGGAAAACGAATTATGGCACGTGGCTTCCACTGTGCTGCATCCTCATCTCAGCTTCTATTGGGTCACTGTACCAGATTCAAGATTCCATCCTGGTGCTGTCGCATTGCAAGGTTTTCTGCATTGGCTTTGGAACTGGAATTGGAGCGATAATCAGTGTGATAACGCTATCCGCTTTTTGGGTTTTCCCACTTCCCTTTTGTTTTGTTATTGCAGCATTTCCATTCGAGATCTTTCTTTCAATTCTGGTGCTAGTGTCACTTCGTCGAAGCAGTTCACCTCTTTTCTCTCGACCGAATACGGCACTCAAGCAGAAACTCTATCTCGTTCTCGTCCAGCCAGTAATGGCGTGTGTCAATATCATTTTCAGCGTTGTATTTACAAGATGTACACCGATGCAGCAGTTTGGGCTCTTCGTGTTTTTGCCAGTGATTAAACTTGCGTTTAAACATTTAGTTGCATGGATCTTCAGACAGTAAGGAGACCATTCCAGCCGCCGTGGTCTTTACTGTGGATGTTTTTAACGGGTTGTATGTAGCGACAAGCATTCAGTCGTCGCGGTCCTGGTGGGCTTCTCTCTTAATGATAGCTCTGAATGTATGTCGAACGGTGCTATCGCTTTGGGATATTTGTCGCGGAGCGAGTGAACTTGAAAACTTGAATCATGAAAACCACATATCCACTGCAACAACTGGCAATATTAAACACTACTCGGTGCATCTCTTTCGGTCGATATGATCTCACAAACGCGTCGCTCCTTCTGCCGCCGACTCAAATATCCGCTCCGCAGACGCAACAGTGCAACGACAGCGACAGTTCGTGGGTATTATTCTGGTTATTTACGGCTGATGACGGAGCCAAGCTAGACACGAAGGCGCGGAAAATGTTGTTCCACATGGAGTATTTGGTGCTGGTTGAATACATCGAAAGTGTCATTCCCACTATATACGTGGCGTATCTGTCGGTCCTCACTCAACTTCCAAGTGCCAAGTACTACCCTCACACACAAAAGCTTACCTCTAGCCAATTCCTAACCAACGTTGGAAGCATTATGCTTTATGCCTCGATGGAAATGCTGACTATTGTGTTGCTTCAGCTGGTTTTGCGACGCAAATTTGGCTTTTCACTGTTCTACCAGCTGGCTTTTGTTCTGGAGACCGAGATGGGGGTGCTTCAAAGTCGGCTCTTTGTGTGGATAACTCCATTACTGCAATTAACGCTGGTTCATTATGGTATGTATGAATGCGTCAGTGATAAAGCGAAGTATTATGTGTTGTATCACTAACTATTCTTTGTATTTTTTTCACTTGGTAGGGATTGATTTTGGCTTTCATTTTCAGTGGATACGCCATCACTGAGAGTAACAATGAAAGAAAAACTTGACGTCAACGCGAGCATCTCCACCGGTCAGTAAAACTAAACGTATTGTGCATTTCAATGTTTCTGTCCTTTTCACTTAGCCTGATGCTCGATTTATAATAAATAGAGGTCGTTTAGTTAAAGCGAGGTCTTTTAAAAGCACAACTACGACACTCAAATCGACTGGTAGTAGAGACCTTTCGCAGCTCCTTTTGTTATTTTCAGCGAATCCCGGCTGCCACAGGATTGCCTAAATTGATTTGCATTCGAGAACTTTCGCAGCCACGCTTTCTATTTAGTTTCAGTCTCAATATTACAACTGCTAACTCACTGCCAGCTCTGCACCTTACGACATGGAAGAGAACGCGCCGTTGAGCTTGCCCCCTGCACAACAAAATGATCAGGAGAACCTCACAGTGGGTGGGTCTTTCGTACAGCCCGCTGGTCCAGCTCGAAAGAACTTTACGACAGCCGATGATCTGATTTTACTGCGCGCTGTCAACACGATCAAGCCGTGGGAATCCGCGGAAGGTACAGCGAGCGGTATAATGAAAAGCTTTGACAAGATTGCAGACATCTGCAATGAAACGGCTGGTTTCGTGCGAGACAAGCAAGGCCCAGCGCTGCGTACGCGCTTTGATAAGCTTATTCGTCAGCATCGCGACGCACAAGTAGTTTCAAGGAGGTCGTCTGGAACGACGGAAGAGTACAACGAGAGAGACGTGCTCTTGCAAGACATTGTCACCCGTATGGACGACTGGAAGGAGCGTCAAGATAGCGAAAAGCAGCTCCAGCGTGCCAAAGATAATGGCATTGAGACGTCGGGTGTCTTAATGCGTCGATTGGCAATGGGAGAGCTGGTGGAAGAGCTGCAATCCGACACAAATTCCAACAGTGATGAAGGCAACGAGGGACAAGACGAAGGTGCAAATGCAGGCACTTCCTTATGTGGTAGTCTGAAGCGTGGGAACACGGCTAGCAGCGGTCGCGCTACCAAAGTGGGAAAGATAGAGCGAGTAGCAGCCGTGACTGATGCTATCGCGATGACAATCACCGAGATGAATAAGGGGAACCCTGAGAAGTATGTGTATCTTAATAGTCGCTTACAATTTGAGAAGGACGAGGCCAAAAGAATAAGAGAGCACGAGTTAAAACTGGAACAGCAGCGTCAAGAAGCTGAGCGCGCACGTGATGAGCGTATGCAAGCTGCTGAACGTGACCGCGAGAAGTTTATGTTGCAGCTACTGGAAATAGCTCTCGGACGTGCAAAAGACAAACAGTAACGGATTATAAACAAACGATACGTTTTGTCATTCTTCATTTGCGTTAAGGTAGCTGTCTACTGATGGTGGAAGTAGATAAAAGTATATAGATATCTGGTTTCCTGTTGGTTGAAGACATGCATGAAGGTTAGATAGTAGCACTCCAACAACGAAAAGCTTTCCAACCGCGGTCTGTCGGGCTCGCAGCTTTTTATCCCAATTCAGGAATGACCATAGCATCTTGACACGCCCGAATCCCCACTCTACGGCCTCGCGAACACTGCTCATACGCGAATTGAAACGTTTCATAGCTCCATTTGATCCAGGATTTTCGAATGAACAGCAAACGTACTGACTGCAGCCATACGCCGGATCTCCGTAAATTACTTTTCCATTGAAAAGCATGGATTCATCATTTTTAAAGACATCCAAAATACCACTCATGCTTAACATCGTCGAATCATGCCGCCTGCCTTCCACGGGACCGAATATGCTGACAATTATTCCATCTGGAGCTGTAACTGCTTGCCAGTTGAAGCAGTGGCGTCTCGGATGACCATTATACAGGGATCTTTGTAGGTTCTCGTATGGTGACGTCGGATTCCTACGAGCGCTTAGTCTGGATACATACTCCTTAGTTCCATCCACAAAACCCCAGCAACGTGCTAACGGGGAGCCCTTGGCTCTAATTGCTTCGCAATACCTCTCAATACGGGCTGCAACAATACCATGGTTGAAATACAGGAGAGCCTTGTATTTGTTGTACAACGTATCCGCTAAGTGGCGACAGACGCGCGTGTACGCCCCAGGTGATCTGCCGAACTCATTAGCTACTGTATACAGCATCGATGGCTCCTTCAGCCTTCTGCACAGCATAGCAAGCGCTTCAACGGTCGGAACAGCGTCACGCTCTGGGGTAATAATGACTGGTTTCGGTAAATGCATTTTGGTCGCTAGCAATCGTAGCTGAGGCATCGTAAAATTAAAGCGTGTCCGTGCCGTCACGTCGTCCATGGAGGGGTCGAAGTGGTTGCTTGTGTTGATCCGAGGAGGTGGGTCTCGAAGACGGAAGCAATGACTGGCGATGAGGAAGTGCATTGTGCGCAGGAAGCGCTTCCGATTACCCCGTGCAGCAAGCAACAAACAGCTAATGATGACAAGTGCTTGCTCCGCTGTGAGCTTCGGTGCTATGAAGACCATTGACGAGGTTGGATGGTGCTAGCTGTGAAGACGAAAGTGAGCTCAAATCCGAGTTGAGCAAACCGGCCAGTTAGCTCAAACGCAATTCTGTTTGAGTATCGTGTTTGAGAGGCTCACCCTAGAAACTCAAAAAAAGACTGAAACTCAACAAAAATAAGGTTGCGAAAGGTCTTTAGTATGGTCGCAAGACTGAAACAATAAGGAATTGACGGAATGGCGCCACCAAGGAGTGGACTTAATTTGACTCAACGCGGGAGAACTTACCAGAGCTCGGGATCGGTGTAAATCGACCCTTTTTGCCGTTTTCAAAATTTGTTTATCTGTGATCGAATTACCATTTAATGGTGATCGAATTACCATTTAATGGTAATTCGATCACAGATACATGTAAAACAAATCGATGCCTGCCTCTTCCAATTTGATTTTTACGCGTGGTTTAATGCTTTGACCATGCTCGATCCTGGCTATAAACAGATGGACACTCCATCTGCAAAGCACAATAAATCAATATAATTAAATCGAGCAGAATAGCTTTGCTCAAGTGTCAGAAAGTACGGCAAATTACTAGTTTGCTTCGTCTCAAATGGTTTTCCGTGGTGCAGCGCAGTTTGTTCAAGCTAATCAAGTGTAACGTACCCGTACATATTACCATATTCTACTAAAAACGACTAAAGGAGTGGACACGAGAGAGTAAACACGTCCTTCAAGCTCTAGTTAGCAATAGTCACTTTTAATTTTTTGCCAAACAATATACAAGCTTCCTCAATCGGTTACATTGTAGATCTTGAAAAGTCCGAGCATCTACTTGTTTTCCTCTATTTCGACTATCGAGCAGAGACCCATACCGTTAGGGAAGCGACCTGCCCGCCGCGGTCGCTTGTAGTAGTCATCTCACTCCTCGCCCGCCAGCAAGTGGGATTTCAAGCAATGGTGCAGCACCAATACGCTGCTACCAAGGCACTCATCGACACGCTCGCATCGACGCCACCAGCGGTCCGTAAGAATCAACCTCCGACTAACTACGGCAGATAAGGAGGCAGTGCACATTTCGTTTTTCTAAACAGTTTCTGCCCCCCCCCCTCCCCGATGTATATCATTTGTGATAGCTAGTGGCTTGAAGTTACGCGACGGAAACGATGGAGCCCACCACCCTGTTTCAATATGCGACCACCGTAAAAGCGTAACGGGCTGCGTACTCAGTGTACGCTTCTGCACGTCTCCCGCGTCATGTTGGTTTGATAAGCTCGGTCACCGAGTCGGTGTGTTTTACACATACTGTGAAGGTCTCCATTCCCATTGTACCACAGCATGAGCGTGCTGAAAAGTACGTTGTGTAAAACTTCCATAAGCTGACGAGTTGCAAAATTAGTGGTTTCTGTAACGTTGCCACGGTAGCTTTAACATCACTCGATAGCGAGCACGCTCTCCGCCGTTGTGTTCCTCCGTCATTGAAAAGTGATAGTCGGCGTAATGTTGTTCCAGGGCGAAAACCCAAAGCTCGGAATCCTCATCTACCTAGCCCAGGCGAGCCGATCGCCGTAAAGATGATGCCATACTAGTAGTAATACAATCATCAGACCTCTTTATTAGCGGTGGATATTAATATTAAGCTTATTATGGTATGAAATGTAACGTGCGTTAAAAACACCCATTGTAAATATATTATAAATGTTAAAAACGCTTACTACGAATTGGTTCTGTGGAAATCGGCGAAACCGGATCAAGCTTTTTAGCACGTAAACTGCCCTCAAGTGAAAACTTTGTCAGTATTCTTTGCGCTCCCAGCCGAAAATTAAAAATCTGACTCAACTGTAGCTGTGTTTGGGAACGCCGTTGCAAGAACACCACTGTTTTGCATTGTACTTTCTGCCAACGAGCTTCTACCCACCGGCGAAGTCCGTCTTCTCATCCGTGCAGCCGTTTGAAGCCTTATTTTTGTATTTCATTCTTCTTGCGCAGCCACAATCCATTTTTCTGGTCCTATACCATTTTGCGTAGGCGTTTACATGGTCAGAGGCCCCACGTAAATTGCTAAGTTTACTGACCTCTTCATGTTACAGGTTGAGGAAGCTTGTGTAATGCTTGGCAAACTGAAAAGTGACTATTGTTAGATAGAACTTGAAGGACGCCTACACGCTCTCGTGTTCACTCCTTTAATCTTGTTTAGTCGCTAAAGTCTGTCCCGTAAGCTTACCGTAAAGTTACCGTAAAGTATACCTTTTGTTGGGACTGTACTTTTTTACATGTCCATAAGCGTTCGTACTAATATGTACGGATACGTCGCACGACTTTCTTGTGAAAGAAGGTGCTTATTTCGCCGGGCGGTTTGGAGCGATGTGGTCGACGTTCGTGCAGCGACAGCACGTTGCTGAACTCTGTCGGTCCTCTTTAGCTGCGGCAGCTCTTTGTCCTGCGTGATCGAAACAAAGCGTTAGCTGGATAGTCTTGTCGAGTGTCGCCGGGGAGTGCCCTCACAAATGATTTGCGGTAGTCGGCTTTAATCCTTTTTTGCATTAAGAAATGCAGGTTCAGCTGGCTGATTTACACCGTGCATTGGATAAGCAAAGTTAAAAACTCCGCCACGTAATCATGAAGTGACATGGTCTGACTAAGCACAAACAGTCGAATACTCGCTGTCAGGTGGAAGGAATCGCTTGCACATGACCGCTTTAAAATCCGCTCAGGTCTTCACTTTTCCTCTCGCATCACATTCCACCAAAATCATGGCGTTACCACTTCATAAGGGTCATCTCCTAGATAACATGATATCATTGTGACAAATTGGGGTGACCCCTCCGTCATTTGAAGGTGATAGTCGGCGTAATGTTGTTCCAGGGCGAAAACCCAAAGCTAGACAACCTCGTCTAGCTTGCCGTAGTGCGTCGGAGGTTGATTCTTACGGATCGCTGGTGGCGTCGATGCGAGCGTGTCAATGTGTGCCTTGGTAGCAGCGTATTGGTGCTGCATCATTGCTTGAAATCCCGCTTGCTGGTGGGCGAGAAGTGAGATGGCTCCTATAAGCGACTGCGGCGGGCAGGTCGCTTCCTTAACGGTACGGGTCTCTGCTCGATAGTCGAAATAGAGGAAAACAAGTCGATGCTTTAACGCTTCAAGTGCTACTGTGTAACCGATTGAGGAAGCTTGTGTAATGCTTGGCAAACTGAAAAGTGACTATTGTTAGCTAGAACTTGAAGGACGCCTACACGCTCTCGTGTTCACTCCTTTAATCTTGTTTAGTCGCTAAATTCTGTCCTGTAAGCTTACCGTAAAGTTACCGTAAAATATACCTTTTGTTGGGACTGTACTGTTTTACATGTCCATAAGCGTTCGTACTAATATGTACGGATACGTCACACGACTTTCTTGTGAAAGAAGGTGCTTATTTCGCCGGGCGGTTTGGAGCGATGTGGTCGCCGTTCGTGCAGCGACGGCACGTTGCTGAACTTTGTCGGTCCTCTTTAGCTGCGGCAGCTCTTTGTCCTGCGTGATCGAAAGAAAGCGTTAGTTGGATAGTCTCATCGAGTGTCGCCGGGGAGTGCCCTCACAAATGATTTGCGGTAGTCGGCTTTAACCCTTGTTGGAAGTAGAAATGCAGGTTCAGCTGGCCGATTTACACCGTGCATTGTATAAGCAAATTTATAAACTCCGCCACGTAATCATGAAGTGACATGGTCTGACTAAGCACAAACAGTCGAATACTCGCTGTCAGGTGGAAGGAATCGCTTGCACATGACCGCTTTAAAATCCGCTCAGGTCTTCACTTTTCCTCTCGCATCACATTCCACCAAAATCATGGCGTTACCACTTCATAAGGGTCATCT